CAGGTCATGGCGTACCTGGTGCCCCTTCCTGATAGTACCCCAGACTAGCCAGGGAAGGTAGAGTATATGCTCTTAGCCTTTGGAGAATTCAAAAAATCTAGTTTAAATCCAGATACGAACACAGGCTTTTGTTGGGGACATATCAGCCTCTGCGGGAGGGGCTATTTTTGGAAGACTGATGGAGGCTGGTGTACCCCACTGTCTCCCCACCAAGCTCATCTCCATCAGCTGAGAAAAAGAGACTTTTAAGGAGAGGACAGGTGGGGACTCTGCCTGCTGGGTATTCCCATCTAATGATGGCTCCTACTGTAGAGCACTGCTTCTGGGCTGGGCACCAGGGGAAACTTTGGGTATTTGTTGGGGGAGAAGTCGGGGGTGACATGGGGGTAATTTGGTTGAGGAACTCAGAGGCCCTTTGGGAAGGAGCCAAGACCCCAGCTCTTGAAACTCTTGGGGTGGGAGAGAGGCTGATGAGCAAGGCCTAGAGCAGGGCAAGGAGATGAGGCCCTCTAGGCTCTGGCCTTACTCAAACCTCTCAACTTTTGTTCTGGTGGTGGTGTTCCTTTCCAGGGCCTTCAGCTCGGCCAAGGGCTGCCCGTGAGCCTTGTGCCGGCAAAATGCCAGGCCATGCCCTTCGTGTTCATGATGCATTTAATCCTCTCAAATCACCTCATGAAGAAGGCATCATCATTACATCATCATAATAGGAGACTGGGGCTCAGAGTGGGTGAGTTTTTCCTGCCAGATCACACAGCAGCCACATGACACAAACAGGTGTGAGGCCTCCCAGAGCCTAGCCCTCGACATCCTGAACCCCATTATACCAACTCTCGCACTTCGTATACTTTCGGGTTTCTCATGAATCCTCTTGTCTCTTTTCTTTCTGAATTGATCCAGCAGCTCTTGGAGCACTGGTTCATGTTGTGATAGTGGCCTCAGATCACACGATGGGGCAATGATGTGGCAGTGATGTGGCAGCGACGTGGCAGTGACGTGGCATTGACGTGGCAGTGTGACATGAAGGTTAAGCGTGCCGACTCTGACCTCAGACCTCCTGCCATTTACTGTCTGTGTGACCCTGAGCCAAGTGCCTCAGTTTATTCATTCATAAGATGAAAATGTTTAAAGAATACTAATTAAATGAGCTATTCCAGGGGAAGGACTTAGGCCAGAGCCTGACAGAAGCAAGCACATTAGCAGCTGCTGCTGGTTTTATTATTGGTCGGTGATGCCCAAGCAGCCTCCCTCCCGGGGTAGAATCCCTGGGAGGAACGTCCAGCGGTAAAGAGTCTCCATTCGTGGGCAGGAGCCCAGGGTTCTGAACCGTGTTGTGTTAATAACTCACCACGAGGGACATAACGCCAACCCATCCCCAACCCATGTCAGCTGCGTTCTTGGGTCCCTTTGCCCCAGGGGTAATTGACAATCCTTCCTGAGCAGGTGTGGGCTGGATTTACCGGCCTAAGCTCCCTATTTCCATAACCAACAGGGCTCCTGAGTGAGCGGTTTTGTTATCTTCATGCCTTTTACAAAGTAGGCATTGGAGGATCAGAGAGGTTAAGGCAAGCATCCAGAGCCACACAGCCAGAAAAACCCAGAGTTGAGATCTGAACTCAGGGAGTCTCCCTCCTGGCCACAGGCTTCACAGCTATACTGGAGCGACGTTAAAGCCAAGATTAGGATCCTGGTTAGAGGCAGCCTGTCCCCAGTCTGTGGGGGGTGGGGGGGGGCAGTCAGGACAGGCAACAGGACAGGCCCTCCCAACAGCTTGCTTCTGGAGGATTCTGGCACAGGAAGATAAAGAAGCGACCGCAAAAGAGCACTTTAATGCTAGGGAAGCCAAAGGATCCTGACAAAAGGCCCTGTGGTCGTCAGCAAACGCACAAACCCTCATTTCGGTTTCTTCACGTCTCCAGACCCAGGGACATTTGTCTTATCAGGTAACGGAATTGTTTTTAGTGGCAGGAATGAGCTCATCACAGATGCGGCTTGTGCTAATAATGATACCGTGCTCTGCAGAAATCACCTCTCTGCCTTGCCCGACACACGATGCTCCCGAAATTACAGGCTAGGGAGGAGCAGCGAGGGGGAAGATTAAGGAAAAGAATTACAGTGAGAAACTGCGTCCACAAAAGGACTTGCAGACTTGCACACTGAACTAGGCAATCTTAATCATGAAGTTGTAGCCGAATTACATGCTATGATGGCCGTTATTCAATTGTTACCTCTGTCCCTGGGTTGCTGTTTTTTGCTTTTGTTTTACAGTTCAAGCCAGTTTTCAAAGGCGATACCCACTGATTTAGTCAGTGACTTAACACTGATGCCCAATAGGATTCCAAGATCAGGATGAGGGCTCCTTGCAAGGAATCATTTCAATCCTGGCACCCCTTAATTTCACGGGCAAAGAGCTCAAAAACCTTCAGTCCGGAGCCGTCATCTACAAACTCTGTGGGTTTGGGACAGGTGGCTGGGCAGAAACGGCTTCCACCTCCCTCATTTCCGAGGGGCCAGAGCTGTGGCAGGTTGGCCCGCCCGCCCCAGGCAGGGGTCCCATCTATCTCTTGCTTTCATCATGGATGGAGGCCGGGGCGGCGGGGGGGTGTCATTCTCCCAGGGTCTTAACAAAGTTGAAAAAAATATTAACTATGGTCACTGAGGTTTGTTCCAGCCCTTCGAACAAGCTGCCAGCTACCCTCTATTGACACGTGACTTTTTTCCTGTAAACATACAATCTCAAGAAAATTAAAATCTTTAAAATAAAGATTTTTTTTGTCCTAATTGTGAAAACAATACACGTGGGCTGTGGAAAATTGGAAGGCACTCAAACAAGAAAATAAAAATAGCTAACGATACACCATCATCCAAATAACCACCACAAGCATTATGGGCTAGTGTCCTCCCCCCTCCCCCCCACTGTTTTAAAAATGAAAAACTAGGATCATTGTGTGTGTGAGTGTGTGTGTGTGTGTGTGTGTGTACATGGGTTTATTGTTCTCGAACAATTGTTCATAAAACTGTAGTTTTATGGCCTGTTTTTAGGCCTGTTTTTCATGTTCTATAAGCATCTGTCCGTAACAGTAATCTTTTATCACATCATTGTTGGGTAGTGGGAGAGATGGTAATCCCAAATCCTGTGGGGTTTGGGCTGCTGCTTTGTTTTGTACGACAATCACCCTGGACATCATCTTTGGCTGTTTCCCTGGAGGAGAAATCGTGTCTGGGCCAGGCCCCTCTGGCTGGCGGGTGAACTATGAGGGCCTCCTCTCACAATAAACGTGTTTAAATGCAGAAAGCAAAATATGTGACACTTCAAGGGAAACTAATTACATTGAAATAGAATCCAAGTATTAGGACAATTCTATGAACCAACCACGTGCTTCTTCTTTTTTTTAAAGATTTTATTTATTTATTTGACAGAGATCACAAGAGAGGCAGGCAGAGAGATGGGGAAGCAGGCTCCCTGCTGAGCAGAGCGCCCAATGCGGGGCTCGATCCCAGGACCCTGAGATCACGACCTGAGCCAAAGGCCGAGGCTTAACCCACTGAGCCACCCAGGCACCCCCCAACCATGAGCTTCTTGCACAGATTGAAGAGCCATATGTTAGAGTGTCGATACAGTCGCTCTAATTACATCATGATACAGTACGATCAACACTAACATTTTGCGACACTGCACGCAGCCAACGTCATGATACAGACAGATCTGTGGCTTCTATTAGGCCAACGGGACAGGATGCCTGTGGTTTGCTGTGTTAAGGGAAGGGAATGCTAAATCACACTTGGGAGGTTCGTAAAAACAGAGAGGTGACTTTTTTCTCATCAAAGTCCTTTGTACTCATTAGAGTTAAAGATTTGGCATCTGATTTCTCTGCCCTGGGCAGGTCTCCCAGGACCCAAGTGCTGTACTGTTGTGGCTCTGCCCATTACTGAGCCTTTGGATGTCTGCGATGGTCTCGCTGCTCCACGAGCTGCATTTGAGGTCTTCTGAAGCCGCTGGATGCCGAGCGAGGTCAGAGAGAGTGCCTGTCGGTGGCAACAAGTATGAGCCAGTGCGCTGGGCCGAACTATGTCCCCAAAAGCGCAAGGTTGAAGTCCTAACCCCCAGTACCTCAGCCTAGGACTTCTTTGGAAAGGGGCTCACTGCAGGTATAATGAGCTAAGCTTAGACACGCTCATCCTGGAAAAGAGTGGGCCCTAATCCAGGGTGACTGGCATCCTTATAAGACGACAGCCATGTGAAGACACAGAGACACAGAGGGGACATCACAGGACCATAAAGATAGGGATAGTAGTTATGTACCGAGGAAGGCCGAGGATTTCCAGCAAACCACTGGGAGCTGGAAAGAAAGAGGTAAGGAAGGATTCTCCCTCGAGGTTTCCAAAAAAGCGCGGCCTTATTAACACCTTGAATTTGGATTTCTGGCTTCCAGAACCGTGAAGTAATACACTTCTGTTGTCTTATGGCATCCAGTGTGAGGTACTGTTACAGCAGTGCTGTGAAACAAATACATCTTGTGTCCGCCAGTCGGGGTCTCCTGAGGAGTGGGATTCTGAAACACCAGGGTTGGGTGGGCATACCGTCGTGCCACCACGTCAGGACCCAAGATGGCTGACAGGGACAGCTGGTTGGTTAGTGCGCTGGGCCCGGGCTTCCATAAGAGCCTGATCCAGGTGCACAATGTCACATCAAGGTAAGGAAGAGATGAGCCTCACCCCGGCTCTTCTCAAGGTCAACACAACCTAGGAACCCCCAGACCCCACAGAAACCTTCAGCATGCTGAGAAGTAGCTTCTTTATTCCCACACCGCAGTGAAAGGTCTTTATCATTAATGACATGCTGTTGCCAAACAGACAGCGAGCCGGTGGCAGTTGAAAGGATTCTTAGGTTTTGAAATTTTCCTAGGGCCTGTTGGGTGTGGGTGAGGGGCTGGTTCTCATGCAAGAGTGATGAGTTTCTGAGTCCCCTGCTACGTTCACCTCTCCTTGGCAGGCTGTCTGCCTCAGCTTTCCGCATACTTTGCTGAGAAGAGTGGCTCAAGGTAAATCTTCCCGCTGCACAACATATTTGTCCCTTGGGCACAGCCACATGTCACTGGAGGTCTGGGTTCCTCTGTCAGGGGTCTCCCATGGGCAAGACAGCTGCCACCTGGAAGAGAAACCATCCTGACGAGTTACAGGCCGACGGCACCAGTAAGCAGGGAGGCTACTGCAAACATCTTATCCCCTTTATAAAAGTAGTGGGAAAGAAAGAAAGAGCGCTCCCTTACCTGCGACAGAAAACTCCAGACATTTGGGCAGCGGTCCTTCATGCTGCAAAACTTTTGGAGAAGGGACGGAAGGAGGTTGGGTGGACCTGTCGCCATACATTCTAAAGGACAAAAGTCATAGACTTACTCCTCTTTTGAATAATAAAGAAAAGAAATACAATCTGTCCTGTGTGAGCACAGCAGCTTACTTTCTAATCCTGATGGGGATTTATCCTAAACTTAAAGGATTATCGTATCTCCATTATGCAGGAGGGAAAACTGAGGCCAAACAGCCCCCCTCTGCAGGGCCCTACCATGCCCCTCCTCAGGACTTAGGCTGCTGCCAGGAAAGGTGGCCCACTGGGTTTTTACTCCTGGTCTCCCCCTGCAACCAGCAAAGACAGCAAGCAGGCTTCTGGAGAACGCTGGGTGGGGCAGGGAGTGGAGGGTCGCTGCTTACCGTGAAGGCCTTGCTATTACCAACAAGGCTCCTTCTGTACAACAAACCAAACAGAAAAGCAGCTGTAGAACTGGGGTGGGGCCCCTACAAACGCCCCCGCCTCAGCCCAGCCCCAGCTCTGGCCCTGGTTCTCGTCACCTGTGGCTGTGCCCCACGCCAGCCCCACGCCGGACTCACTCCTCAAATGGCTTCAGGTGTGCCATCCTGGCCTGCTCTATGATGCCCAGGAAGTCCCTGTAGCAGTTTCTGGCCATGACAGTGTACCGCGTGGCACAGCCTAATTCGGTGACCCTGGCTCTTGGGAGGTAGCCAGCCCAGCCCGGGATCGGGGGCTCGTAGAGAGGTTTCTTGATGTTTTTGCATTCTGTAAAAAGATAGCATGCTTCCTGAGGGCTTTGAGAAGCCCGCACCCCTACAGCTACCCCGGTGAGCTGCTAGGCCTCGAGAGGCCCTCAGAGCGGCTACCCCTGGTTGGTTGATTCTGTGAGCCAGGCACCTGGATAGGGGCTTTTCAAATACCCTGGGAGCTCCTTCTCTCACACACTGGGACGGCTGACACCATTATTGACTCCACCTTACGAACAGGACATGGAGGCCTTGCAGAGATTAAAAGAGTCTTGGTCATGGTCACCCGGCAAGGAGGTGGTAGGACCAAGCTTCAAACCTGCACCTGTCTGAGTCTCAGGTTCTTTGTCTTCAACAGATCCTGCTCCTCGTTCAGATTAATAAAAAAAGCTTCACACATTGCCTCTTGTATAGTTTACAGAAAAGAAGCAGGAGAAGCATCCAGGTCAGAAGAAAGTACATCAGACTCAGCACCAGGAATCTGCCTTTAGGTCATGAACGACTCTGACTGGCTGACCCGGCCCAATTCCCACTGGTGAGATCAAAGATTCCTGTCTGCCTGCCTCCTCCAGTTGCGGTCAGAATAGAATTAGGCCACTGAGTCCCAGAATCTCAGAGCCAGAAGGCACTATGGGAAGCATCTAATCCATCCTTCCCTGCGCTGGAGGAAGGAACGACAGCCCAGAGAGGGGAGGCAATGTGTCATAGTTCACACAGCAAACAGTCACAGAGCTGGGCGAAATCTCAAACTCTTGGGCAGATGTTCTTTGTTATGATTCGGAAAACTTTCAAGCACAACAAATGTGTTTAGCCGTCCCACAACTATAGTCCTAATAATAAAGACAGTTCTGGAGTCCATTACTTTTCTTATAGGTTTAGACCTTAAGAACGGTCCAGGACAAATCACTGTGTTAGCCTTATAGAATCACGTCAGAAGTTGGTTTTGTCATTGCTATCATGCTTGTTCTCCAGTGCCTGCCACAGCTGGATTCCAGCTGAGGTCTAACCTCACTCAGACAAGGGCCATTACCTTCGCAGCCTCACTTTCCCCAGCTCTAAAATGGGAATAATCATGTTGACCTCATGAAATAATGGTGCCCAGCACAGAGAAAGCAACCCCAGAGTGTCCATCCTGAGACAGCAGGTGCGGTCTGAGCGATCATGGCCACACGCAGGGGGAAGGGGGTCTCCGTTCACAGCACCCTCTGGCCTGACCAGGACCGGGTCCCTCTCTCCCCCAGGAGATGTCTCTTTCTCCCTGGATGAAACCAAGCCTTTCTGTCTTGCACCACACTGCTGGGGATTTGGAAGTGGGTTGGACTCCCTGCTCCCTGGGCCGGCCCAGTGGGCCTGCTTGGGCCCTGCACTTGGGCCCCAGTAGAAGGGGACTGGTTTCCGGGGGGCTGGTACCCAGACACAGGGGGTGATGTTGCCGGTAATACTGGTGCAGCGCCCGCAGGACGGTCTCCTCGGAGCAGACGGGCTTCAGCCTCTGGGCAGTGGCTACCGAGCAGCGAAATTCCTCCATCTGGTTTTTATAGCGTTGTGTGATCTCCTGGAAGATCTTCAGACAGTGGGCCATGCTGTCCTTGCTGGTGGCCTGCTGGCAGCTGAGGTAGGGTACAAAGCCTGCAAGAGCCGACGAATGGGAGCCTTCAGCGAGGCCGTCGGAACCTACAGATGCTCCCCAGAGTCCCAGCCCGCTCCGTGGCATTTCCTCCCTGGCGGACAGCACTGCCTTTCCCCAAAGGCCATTAATACAAGCAGTGCTGTTGTCTGCACCGCACTGGGCCCTCCCAAGGCCACACACACACACAAAATGACCTTGGAGCTGGGGAGGGAAGGCCCATTTCAACAAAGACGATGACAGTAATATTCTTTGATAGCAAAGACCCTGATGTCAGTCTGAACCACAAATGGGGAAAGCATTTAATGGGCCAAAATGATAGTCTGAGGAGTAATTGAAATTATTCATCTTTTTTAGAGAGAAAGCTTATTTTCCTTGACACTTCCCAAATGCAATTTGGGATCCTTTTTTTTTTTTTGTCAGACCATCGGGAAATTGCGGGGCTTATTAAAAGCTGAGACCTATTACACAAAAAAAGGTAAATGCATTATCTGTGGGGCCCATCCCCTAGAACAATTTTTTACCACTTCCCAGAAAATAACATATAATCATTACAATTAGTATGGGTAAAACACAAGGATTTATTTAAACTGGAGGCTGAATCCCAGGGCCTACACCATTGTCACAATAAAACTAGTTTTTGAAAGCACAAAAGGAAGAAAAACTGGTTAAGAACTTGGTTTTCGATGGGTAAATAATAAATAAGTACCTCTCGCTCATTACCGAAGCCCCACATTTCGCCTGTGTCCCGCAAGAAAACCTGATTTCAGAGTCAAGAGTAGCAACCCTGCCTCCCACATCCTGCGAGAAGCCGCTTCTGGAAAAATCTGATTACGAGGCTGTTCCCGAAGCCCTCCACCCACCAGAGAGGCTCCTCAACCCTGGGGCAATTAAAAGATACCCTAGTGTTGTTGGGGGAGATCGTAGAAACCGAGGGGTCCTGGTGCCTGGATAGATTTTACGTAATTGTATATATGTACACACAGAGGAATTCAAGCTACCTTCCCAGAATCTTACTAAGGGCCAGGACAATCTTAGGAGAGACCTATCGTTATCCTGTGTAGAGGGCTGAAATTGTGTCTCCTGGATAGATATGTCCCAGTCCTAACTGATGGGTCCCATGAAGGTGACCTTATCTGGAAATAGGGTCTTTGCACACATCATTAAGGATTTGGGAATGAGATTATCCTTGTCTGGGGAAGGGCCCTAAATCCAGCTGTCTCTGTCTTGGTCCCCTGTCTAGTGTCCCCTGTCCAGCTGGCTGGGCCAGAACAGGCACTTGTGCTTTTTAGGACATTTGTTGAAAATACTCTGTTACAAGAGAAGAGAGAGGGGGATCTGAGGAAGAGACACAGAGGTGCAGGGCAGAAGGCACGAGAAGAGCCGTGGGAAGACCAGAGGGTGGCGGGGACAGAGACTGGGGCCATGCTGCCGTAAGTCACAGAACAGTCGAGGCCACGAGAAACTGGAAGAGACAAGGAAGGACCCTCCTCTAGAGCCTTCGGAGAGAGCATGGCCCTAGTGACACCTGATTTCAGACTGCTTGCCTCCAGCCCTGGGAGAGGATAACCATCTTTTGTATTAAATGGCAGGCCTAAGAAACTAATACACCCATTTAACAGACATTTTTTTTTAAAGATTTTGTTTATTTATTCGACAGAGAGAGATCACAAGCAGGCAGAGAGGCAGGCAGAGAGAGAGAGGAGGAAGCAGGCTCCCCACTGAGCAGAGAGCCTGATGCGGGGCTCGATCCCAGGACCCTGGGATCATGACCTGAGCCGAAGGCAGAGGCTTTAACCCACTGAGCCACTCAGGTGCCCCTTAACAGACATTTTTACTTAATGCAGAAAGTAAGTTCTCAGTAACCCAGAAGCCTGAGGACAAGAACCTTTAGGTAGTGACCGACTATCCCTGTTTGCCAAGGACTTAGGGGTTTCCTGGGACTGAGGACTTTCAGTGCTAAAACCAGAGCCATTCCAGACAAATCAGGGCACTTGGATCATTCTCCCTTTAGGGGACCCAGGAAGGAATGGGACCGTAAGAACAGTCCTAGTGCAAAACTTGAGAAATCTCACCTTGGGAAAAAGGACCTTATCCATTGCATCTATTCCTTATCTTGGCCCCAAGGCAGTGATACCCATTAAGTGCTTCCCACAGGTGCAACCACATCCTGCGAGACCTGGCCTGAGTTCGATCTCTCCATTAGTTTGAACTCAGTTATCAGCCATCTTCAGCAAGGGAGGTTTTCAACAAGTATCTTAAAAAGCTAAAGTGCCCGTACTGGCCCAGCCAGTCAGAAGGACACAGACAGTGGGCTAGGGCAGGGACGGCAAGCAGGACCGTGGTTCCCCTGCCAGGCACATCCACGTGGCACATCTCTACTTACCACTGTAGCCTGGTGTGATTGGCAGATGTCTCATGAAGGTCCTGGAAGACTCCATGATCCCGCTTGCTATTAATGAAGGGAAGAGGGAATGAGATGATCTCATCCAGTGTCCCTGCCTCGGAACTCACTGTGTGTGTGGCGAGAGCCCTCGGGAGCAGAATGACCCTGCCCGGGGGTTTGGGACAGAGAGGCAGCACCGCCATCTTAACGCAGAACCGGCGGGCGTAGTTGGTGTCAGTTATAAAAACAACAGGCGTTCCCCTATTACATGAGTTTACATACATATGGTCTGATCACCATCCACGAGCGTCTCCCTTCCTGGGACCTCCTCTATCCAGCCAACCCTCCAGCCAGCGGACCGGCCAGCCAGCCATGGTGAACCATACACACACCGTGGCCAACAATGGCGATGTGGTTAGGAACATAAAGATGAGCGGGACCCAGAAGCCCCCCTGTGAACCCCTAAACCTCCAAGAGGGAAGAGATGAAGAACTCCCATTCCCAGAGCCTTTCTTTCTCCGGGGGGAAAAGGATGTCTGCTGCCCCTCCCCACCATCACCCCCCTCAGGACAGTGGGCAGTGTCCAGAGACATTTTGGGTTATCACAATTGGGGGATGGGGCGCTACTAGTACCTAGTGACTTAAGAGGCCAAGGATGCTGTTAAACATCCTACAGGACACTGGGCAGCCCCACAAGGAAGAATTAGAATAAGCTCTGGCTGGAAGGGCTCAGAGGTCTCTAAGAGTTAGCGTGGAGTCCAAGATGGGTGAGCAGAGGGTGGCGGGGGGGTGACCACCTGGCATTGGTTTATGTGGCTACTGCCACCCCAGCCAGACCCCATCCCCGTTCCGGGATGGCTTCTGGTCCCGGCAAAGGGCCAGGTCCTGCACCTGGGCTTCCGCTGATGCTGTCCAATGCCAGGTCTCCCAGTCGATTCACCTCTCAGAAGTGGGGTCTTCGTGGCCAGGATGGGTGGTCTCAGGGGTGGAGGGGAGGGCACCGTCTGCGTTTAGTCAGCAGTGGTGGGAATTTTAAACACAGTCACTTACAGGACACTTGCTACGACACCGCTGACCGGGGCCTGCACTCCTGTAAAACCCTCGCTGCCCTAGGATTAGTTCCCGTTTCTGTCTCCCATTTATAGATGAGGGGAAAAGGCAGGGGGAGGCTAAGTAACTTATTTGAGGGCTCTCCCATCCAAGGACGCATGAACGGACACAGGACATCCATATTCTGAGGGCAGGGCTATGTTATCCGAAGGCGTGGCCCTGGGGAGGGGGCTGAGTCCTGTGAGGGTGGGTGGCAGCCCGGGCGGCTGCCTGGAGGAGGTGGAATCGGAGAGGAAGAGCGTGGACAGGACGTGTGCTTGGGGTGTGGGCCCTGAGGGGTCCGTAAGCTCCACCACAGCTCCCCCCCCCCCCCCCCCCCCCCCTGTCCCGGGGCAGCCGCACACCCGCGTCCTCACCTTGACCAGCCCGGATCGCTGCTGGCCAGGCCTCCTGCCCTCCAGGCCGACCCTGTCAGCCAGCGCTCCTGGCCTTTATGCGCTCACCAGCGCCCCACCCCACCCGGGAGGAGGGGGAGGAAGGGGAAAGGAGGCGCCGGACCCTCCCTGCTACCCCTCCCCCTCGCGAGCCGGCCCAAACAGGACCCGAGCCCGCAGGCCTGGGGCTTGGATCAACCCGAATGCATGGGGGGACCGTCCCCCTCACCCCCGCCGCGCTCCCCGCTCAGCGTCAGCCCCCGGGCGTGAAGTTCAGGGGTTTCCCAACAGATACTTGGCCTCTGAAGTTGTTCTCCTATCTGATTCTTGGTACCTGGTCTCTCCGCGCTGGGCCCCTCTGGGTTTTGGAACTGGAGGCAGAGCTACGTGGGAGGATCTAGGTCAAAGCTGCCTTTTCTGCTGTTGACCAGTACTAGCGCGGCCTGGAGCGGGGCGGGAGGTAAGAGGGTTGGCACCCCGCCTTCCTCTCGGGAGTCAGAGCGGCAGAGAGGGGTTGTAAGGGGGCAGCAAGCAGCCTGGGAGGGAAGGAGAGGCCTGTGTGGGTGGTGACTTCCCATCACACTCCTCCCCCTAGTCCTCTGTCTTCAGAGGGGGCAAGAACAGGGAGGGGGACAGAAAAGGAGTAACGCACCAAAATGAAGAGGGCGGTGCCAGGGAAGTGGAGCCATACTGCTTTCTGATCATCCGCATTTTGGGGGAGCTAAAAGGGGCCTGAGCCTTCATCATACTGGATTGAAGCCAGGATGCCCACCTGCGACCCAGACAGCGGGAATGAGGGCCTTTCCAGACAGCTAGTACCAGGGGGGCCCTGTGCCTACAACTGATCCCTGATAGCCCAAGAGCACTACGTTCCAACAGATTTGTTTGTTTCCCTGCCTCTCCCTGCCTCCCCCCCATCCCACACCTACTTCCTGGGAGTTGAACTTCAGATGAAGGCTGGGGGAGCTGCCCACTTAGGAAGGACCCATTTGAACCCCCGTCGGTGTCCTCAGGACTCCACCACAGACTCTCCGGAAGCTTCTAAAGCCAGCTCTGGAGGATGACCCAGACACAGAGCCTGGAGTAAACTCAAGGCTCTAGTTGACAGCCCGTCTGGCATGCCTGCTAGGATGGGAGGGCTAAGACCCGTCTGCCTCTGCTTTGTTTTCAACCATCTGCATTTGGGTGTGGTACCTTTGGTCAGCAGCTGCCCCAGCTCCTCTGCCTTCTGTCTGCCTAGCCCACTTTCTGTAGCTTGGAGGGAAAAGGGGCTCATGAACACGGATGGAGCCTTAGTTCCCAGCAAAGGACCCAGTCTTGTTGGAATGAAAGTTAATTTTAAAAAGCTTGCAACATTTAAGAAAAGACCTGAAAATCAGTCTCCATCTGAGTGAGACAGGGAGGAGGGGGAAGTCAGAGATGATGCATCCATAATTCCTTTCACGAATTCATATGCAGAAAAAAAAATTGGGGGCCACACGAGATCCAGAGTTTTGCTTTATTAGACATCTGTGAAGACAGAGCTTGCAGTACAATCTCGTCACGTCGTGAACAGCTGCAAAGTTCCGTGGAGTGTGACTTCATCTTGCAGTTCACAAGACCCCAATGGCTGATATTTTAGGATAAAGTTCCATGTTCCAAGCAGATGAGAGGTGTGACATAACGGACAGCTTTTATACGAGTCATCCACTTAGTCATTTCTCAGCATAAATACGCAGCTTTACAGCTACTTCAAGTCTACAATGTGAAATTCGATCTTCGACTAATAGTGCACTTGGACTCCTGTTTATATGGGCGCATGCGACTCTTTGCCACCCTGGCAATTAACCAGACCTAGACTCTAAAAGCTAAACTTGATCTAAATAACATCCTAGGGGGCGGGCAGGCTCTGCAATCTGGACTCAAGCTTAGTCCAGACTCAGTCTGGACTCCGTCTCCGACTCTGGGCGAGTGCCTGTGTGTCTCCTTCTCTTTCCTGTCTTGTCTGTGACTTGTCTGGCATTCAGCATTTACTACTGCCTGCTGTGTACAGAGGCCATTTAGAAAGGCAATCCTTCCAAAGTTCTGCTGCGAAAACACGAACCTCAGATAATATGTCAAGGACGGCTGAGAAATGGTCAAGACAACAGGCCTTTTAGAAACTTTCTAAGATCAGAAAATGTGTCCACGTGTATTTATCCAGTGTTCTCATTCTAGAATATTTCCGTGGGCAGGAAGGAGAGGAGGGATGGATTGCGGGAGTCCCTTTAAGAAGATTGACTATCGGGGCTGCATTTCTGGGGCCAGAACAAAGTCCGGTGAAGTTATCACTCCTCCAACACCTGGTTGCCATGTGCAGAATTCAACCAACTCGCTAAAGAGAAATCAGACAAGGAGATATCCTCAGTGCAAGGTGGGAAAGGTCTTACATTAGCCAAAAAAAAAAAGACTTCACTAAATTACTCATACGTACACTTAATCGAGTGGAACGTCTGGATTTGTGCACCACTCGATCCTGTCCTCGAACCCTGTTGGACTGACAGCCCTGCACATGGAGACCACACCGGACCGTCAGAGCAACTGCTCTGCCCCACGAGAAGAAGTTGAGCCCCCTGCAGGGACGCACAGAGTTTTCCTATATTGTTCTGCACAGTCACGTGGTGGATAGAACCAGAATGCTCAGCTTTCAAAGACTGGAGGGGAAAATCAATACATGATTATGCTCCTTTCAATATAAACTGTGAGCCTTTGGGAAGGATGTGAGGGAAGCAAGGTCTGATGAAGCTGTTGATCCCGCTGGTGTCCCCCTTTGCTTTTTCCAGAGTATTCGGAGCCTCGGCACCTCTGACTCTGGCTCGGTCCCGCATACATAGTCCATAAGCTTAGTATCAGGTGCAAATCGGTAAGTAAGTGCAATTAAAAAAATGAAGCCATGGGAAAAGAAAGGCAGCAATGTCATCAACAAAATTCAAAGAGCATTTCTCCTTTTTTTTTTTAAACAAGAAAAGCACATTGTAGAAATAAAGATTCTGTACAATATTCTAATATCATATGTACATAAAATTATATTACTTATAACTAACTTGAGAAGTCTTATTTGCAGAGTACGGCTGGCAACACCAAAGAAAGACCCAGAACATTTAGCTTTTGAAGCAGAGCAGGCAACAAGAGAACCCCAGCAAACACACCTGTGTGCCCAGACGTGCAATCCTGCTACGGAGTGAAAGGACGTGGCTAGCATCCTCTAGGTCAGCGGCATGTTCTTGTTCGTGTTTCACATTCTAGCAGAGAATTCTGCAGCAGGTGGTGTGGAAAGCCAAGTTCCAATGAAACTGGAAATGCTATTTCGAATCTGCGGACCAGCCACGGTAATGGATTTGCGAATCCAGCTTGCCTTCCGAGCCAGCGCCTTAGTGTATCCCCCCTTCATTCATTATGCATGCCTCCAGGGATTTCAAATCGGAGTGAGTTCCAGCAGACACACCAGTTGGTTCCCCAGCTATCTTAGGGTCCCTTCCAACCATCCTCCTTCGCAGGCCCAGGCGTGAGGGTGAAAAGAACCACCTCCAAGCCACGTGGAGCCCCAACCCCACTCACAAAGGGCAGGGCACGGGACCCCAGACTCTTCACCTGGAAATCCTTCCCTAAAGCGGGGAGACTAGAGGCGCTGGTGTACACTTCAGCTTCCAACAAAACCTGAAGTTGGGCGTTCTCAGATTCCCATGGACCCACAGTCCCCTGTGGTGTCTACTGAAAATGCAAATCCTGCCCCCCCAATCCCCCAAGACTTGACTTCAATTTGTAAAAGGAATAGGATCCAGAAACCTGTTTTTAAGAGGCACTCAGGCAGTTCTCACGAGGGGGGCCCACAGATCAGCTTTGGAAAGACCTGGCTGAATTCGTCATGTATAGACTATGAATTCCTTTTAGTTAAGCTTTAAAAAATGAATATTTTATAGTACAGACTCTCTACCCATGTATCACCAATGTATTCTTTTTGAAATGTGGTACTGTGGGGCCAAAACTCTTTGGGAGATGAGGGTGAGGGGGGACTTAATTTAAAATATGGACCCTTGTCAAGGTGAGGGGCTGTCCCAGACTCCTGGGCTGGGGGATGGAAACAAGGCAAACCACACACCCATTTCCCTGCACAGAAGCCTCCCAAGGATGACTTGAATTACTTATGAATTCAGAAATCAGGATCTGGCATCGGGGAATGATGCCATAGCAGATGATCTGGGATAAATCAGCAGCGCCTAAATACCATTTCCCTCCAAGCAAGCTTTCACCTGCTGAAAAGTGAAGGTGTCAGCTCTCCCACTCACTCGAATCCTCGCAGATTAGCTCAGGCGATATTTAACTCCTTCCTGAACCTATTCAGAATGGAAATTATGAGAATCTAAAATAGTGCCCAGCGTGGGCAGGCCTCTCCCACCGGGTGAACAGGCTCCCAGCTCCCACTGAGTCATCGCTTTTCATCACGTGAGGACAAAAAGAAATGAACTGCAGAGGGACAGCATTTTAAACTGACTGCCATCCAAAAAACGTAGAAAGTCTCAAATAGATGAGGGCACCCTAACAGAGATCCGTTCAAAGCAAGCTGAGTGACTGCTACAGAAACAGGCTGAACCCCTGTGTCGGGCGGCTGTTTCACCACTGGGTACCTACGGAAACCAGCTGCTCTCCCAGGATCCTCAGAATTCTTATTCCCAAACCTCAAGCTCCATTTCCGACAGCTTTTTCTGACTCCAGTGTGCCCTCAAAAATCCCTAATCATTTTTTAGCCCTAGTGGTTCCCATCTTCCCTGCTGAAATTCAGGTGGGCAATGCTGAGGGTCAAGGACAGAGAAAGAACAGTCAGGGTTGAGGTCAGCGGATGCAGGGGAGCGGAGTCCCAGGGAGGGCAGGCGGCGGGGTGGGGCAGACCTGTTAGTAATTTAAGAAGTCAATCCCAACCTTGACGCTCTTCGAGGTGGCTATATCCACAGCCGTGGCCTTGATCTCTGTGTCCCCGAACTGCATGAGGGTCTGGATCTCCCTCCGGGCGGGCACGGCGGCGCCGCTGGTCCCCGTGAGGTCCAGGCGGAGGGTGCCGCACTTCTTCACCCCCGGGTCGGTGATGAAGCTCACGTCGTCGTGCTCGGAGCTGTAGATGTTGATGATGATGACCAGCTGCGAGGGCTTGGCCGGGGTGTAGCTCCGCTTGACCAGCTCCCCCAGGGCCACCGACTGGTCGGCGGAGATGAACTTATCGAAGACGTCGGTGCACCAGCGAGTGCCGTCCTTCACCAGCAGCTTCTCAGGCGGGTGCTTGCCCTCCACGTAGCGGTTCAGCACGCCCACCCCGTAGGTGAGCGGCGACCGGCGCACCTTGATGACGGCGGGGTCCAGGCCGAAGAGGACGGCGCCCTTGAGGATGGTGAGGCCCACGTCCTGGGGGATGATGATGCGGCACTTGTCTCCGAAGGCGGCCTGCACCGCCTGCTGCAGGAGGGGTGCCTCGGCAAAGCCTCCCACCAGGAAGAGGAACTTGACCGTGGACACCTCGGGCTTCTGAAAGAGGTCCCCTGAGAACGAAGAGGAAGGGACAACGTTCTGGCACCCAAAGCCAGCTGGCTAGGGGGACTGGTGGCCCCAAGAATGGGGGGGAATAGACCAACCCCCTTGGGCCCCCGGGGGACAGATATGGCTGAGCTGGTGGGACCAAAGCTTTGTAGAGCTGGTCTGGGGTTTGCACACCAGGACCCTCAGGAATAATGACCAAAGCTGCTGATAAGTAGAAACTCATTTTCATGGCTAGATGGTGACGGTTTGAAGTAGTAATTTGTTGGGCATAGATGAAGACTGCCAACATTCTCCCCGCCTGGGGTCCTCTGAAGGCAGTCATGGAAGGGTGTTCTAAAAACCGTCCTTTGGTTTTCAAAGGGGTTCTGATTTGGTAGGTGTGGGGTAGGAAGTGGATGGGGGGCTGGGATATTAAAAAAGGTCCCCAGTGAGTCTCCTGCATGTCCCCAAGAGAGGGCCATGGAGGTAGAACAGTAACCACACGGCCAGAATGTTTGCCCCCTTGCGGGAGACCTTTCCATGGCCCACATGGCTGGTCCTCCTCCCCAGCAAAGATTACAGACCCTAAGGCGTCCTGACCAGGCAAAGACAATCCATTCCCTAGGCCCTGTCACTCCAGGAGAATAATGCTGCTGAGCTCCCAGCACCGAATTCTGAAGTCAAACTCAAGGCGAAGGTGAAGACAGGCTCTGGGCTGCTTTATAGTACCTGTGGGGAAGCATCTGGAAAGCCTGTATCCAGAAAGCTCCCACACACATACCCTGGCCCCGTCTGCCCCTGCCCAGGCCCCAACCTGTGCCTCCCAGTCCCAGACCCCCTGCCAGTCTGACTTCACACACACTAGCTAGTGATGCTAGAAAAGCCCGTCCCCCTTCCTGGCTCTGCCCCACTGAGTGGCCGAGCACTGGCTGATACTCACGGAGATGCTCAATGATGCTGTCAATGGTGGGCTTAAAAAGCGCGTTCATGGCATCTGGACTCATCCTCAGCATCCCTTGTGAGGACCACTTCACAAAATCCACGCTGCGGGGGTGTGGCACAGACAGAAATAAGCAGTGAGTGTGCGAACGATACCCAGTCTGGGTGCACAGAGACGGGCCCTGTCAGAAGAGCTGTCACACTGGAGGGAGCAGAAGGGCTCCAAAGTCCCCGGAGTTATCCTCAACCGCCAGAACCTGTACCCCTATGTGTGCAAAAGCTAAGACTCAGCCTCTTCCGTGTCTCTTTGCTTCATGCTGTGGCCAACCTTCCCTTGGGGTGGTGGAAGCCAAAGTCCAGTGCAAAAGATAGGGAAAGAATGAAAGGGGTCTTTCTCGTTTGAATGACCACATGTTTTAATCGAGCAATAGTCCGATTCGAGTCCATTAAAGGCTCACGGGGTGTGTCCACTGTGCTGCATGAGGCCACGAGCCTGGGGCTCAGGTGCATTCCCTTCAGCCCCGCAGGCACCTGTCCCATGACAGTGATGAGCCCAAGCCTACCGCGATGCCCCCTTCTCCGTCAAAGGCACAGAACATCCAAAGCAATGGCATGGAACAGAAAGAGCACTGGACTGGGAGTCAGGATCGCTGGGCTCCAGGACGGCCTCCACCGCCCAGAGGTTATGGGACTTTTGGGGCAAGTTGGGTTGCCTTTTCTCTGAGCCCTAGTCTCTGATCTGGAAATCAAGGATAATACGACTTGTCTTATCCCCCTTACAGGGGTTGTTGTGAAGATGAAGTTCAATACCACATCTGTGAAAACACTTTGGAAACTTTCTGGCACTAAAGGAATGCCAGAGACTGTTTATTACTGCACGTACCAGCCCTTTCTCAAGTTCAAAGAGGCCAAGAGAATGGTGTCTCTCTCCGTAAAGCAAAGCACGCATCAGCTGCTTCCTAGCATCACAGTCAAGATGCTGCTGGGCTCCCTGACCAGGCAGCCTTCCTGCGGCCTCGGCCGTAGGACAGTGTGGGATGGTGTAGAATGACCCAGTGGCTGGTTGTGGCCAGTCTTCCCTGAAGGAGAGCTGACAGGCCCCAGAACTGTGTGAGCAGACTTGAGATTCAACTTGGAGAATTCCCCTCTGTGGGGGTGGCTGGTGGACAGAGAGAACATGAGCCTAGTATGAGTCTGGCCAGGACCCTGCTCCAAGGGCAAGAAGACCTAAAATCACATCTGCTTTGTTTCCTTTAAACAGAACCCAGGCTTCTTAGAGAAATGGCCAATTGCCGGTCTGGGATGCGGAATATACAAGATGAGCCGGGAGCGTCTTTTCTAACCAGAAGTCTGACCAGAAGACCAGAAGACCAACACATTGAATCAACGGGACACAGAAGCCAACTTGAAGGGCTCCTACTGGCCAAGATGGGGCATTCTGACTATCCAGCAGGATAAAACCGCCATAGTTTCATATACATCAACTATGCCTAAATCCATGAAATCTTAACGATACTCCCCTTGTGTTCCCACAAAAGAAAGAAAATGCATTTGTCACTCAGGAGAATGCTGGGAAATCAACAGTATTTTTTAACAAAAAGTTTATAAATGAAAGGAAGGAACCAAGCCTACATCCTGTCTTTCCTATGTGAAGTCATGTCGGGGCCACCAAAACCACCGAGAAGAGTTTCTCTCAAGACAACAACCCTCCAGGGCTTGTCTATTAATTTTGTAATTCAGCTTTAAAACAGCTTCGAAATGTTCATTTTGCAACAAGCTGAACGACAGACACTTGCCTGCAGTCAAGGGACTCAGAGGAGCAGGAAACCCAGAATCCCATGGGATTCGTTCAACAAAAATTTACGGAGAACCTGCTCTGTCTATACCAGATTCTGGGGTACAGCAGGGACCAAAACCGACAAAATTCCCTGCTTTCGCAAAACTTAATTATTAGTACCTAATAAAAGCTAACACACACACATAGTACTTTCCAGGTCCCAGGCATTGTGCTAAGTGCCTAAGGTATGAATTCACTTCATCCTCACGACAACCCTTTGAGGTAAGTGGAACCATCATCTCCGTTTTCCAGATGCAAAATTGAAGAACAGAGAGGTTGAGTCACCTGCCCCAGGTCAAACAGCTTCTCTGTAGGACTGGAAGGCAGAGTCTACACCCGCTTCTTCCCTCCCATCAATACCACCCACCCTCTAGAATGGCTTCAGCCATTGGTGAGTCCAACTCACTTGCTCTTCCTCAAGGCGTGCTCCACGCTGTGCCCACGGAACTTCTTGTAGTAGTCGATGAAGGAGAAGGGCAGGGTGATGTTCAGTGGGTTAGTTCGGTCTGGGGCAGCTGCCCTTTTACGAGACTCAAATGCAATCATTAGGTCAACCCAGGCCGCTGGACGCTTGATTTTGAATTGTTCGATAAAATCTTCTCCGAATATTTTACACAGAAGTTTTTCAAACTCATAATCTACTCCTAAGGATCCATAGGGTCCACCTGGGTCAGGAACAAAAGGAGAGCCCCCCATGTTAGAAACTGCAAGACTGAATCCAGACTCTGGGCAACTGCGTACCCTGTGTTCTTCTCGGAAACTCCAAGTAGTGCGACGTAGACCCAGTTCGCCAACAGACTGCAGCTCTGAATTTTTACTTCTGCTTTAAAACCCTTAGGTTCTTCTCCTACCAGGTGGAGAAACTTTTTGCTACAGAATTACCTGTCAACAAGCTGTTCAAAAGCCATTACATTTTATTTTATTTTTTAAAGATTTTATTTTTAAGTCATCTCTATACCCAACATGGGTTGAACCCCAAGCTGGAGAGTCACATGCTCTACCGACTGAGCCAGTCGGGAGCCCCATAATACCACTTTATGTTAAATAAAATGGATACATATAACTAAGTAAGAGCATCACGGTATTACGACCCAAGAAATCTAAGGACAGGGTCTGAAAATTAGTAGGCCCACCTAGATCCCCGGATCTGTTAAAGACTCATCCTCCCACCCGCCACTGAGGGAGAGAGCCTGTTGCTTGCTTTGGCAACTTTGATCCAAGACCAGGTATCCCGAGACTCCCTAGAAAGCTTAACCATAGCATGAAATCACAGGTGATAATCAGGGGACCATCAGATCCTTCCAGAACTTTCAGAAAAAAAATTCCCATGTCTAGGATCTAAAACAGGCTCATTTTATGCCAATACCCAAGTTATGGTGGTTTGTGTTTTAGAGAACATTTTACTGCGTTTTGCTCCTCAGTTCTACACAGGAACCCTCTCGGGCCTAGAGCCCCACGTGCCAGGAGCAAACCAAGAGAAGGAAGTACCAAGAGAAATCTGACATGAGAGAATTGTCAGGAATGAGAAAATCAGCCATGCCGGGGCTTACCTGTTGCTTTATACAGTTCTTTCAGGTGTCCCTCCGGTAACCGTATCTGATGGACGGTCAGGTCTACGGTGCCCCCGCCACTGTCCACGACCACATACTTGTCACCTGGGACAAAGACAGCCATCCTTTACACAGACCACTTGTCAGCCCCATCTTGGTATTCCCAGCTCAACACCCATCAACACTTCTCATGAGCACGACGGTTTTGCACATTAGCTGCACAGCAAAGTTGTCTGTGACTGAAGAGAATGCAGTGATGTCTGCCCAGGAGTGCCGGTTACCAGGGATGATAAAGAACCTAGATGAGGGGATCTTTAAGACAGAAGCATTCCTGCCACATGCCGCTGCATCCCTGGCATGTACAAGCAGACAACTCCCAGCTAAGGTTATAGCGCCATAAAATGACCTCCTGTTTAACACAAGACTTAATCCGGAGCTGGACAGTCCCAATTCCCACTTCGCTTCTAAAGAGTCTGTATGGTTTTATAACATGCAGAATTATAGCTCCAAAAGAGCTCTCCTTGGTTGGGTGGTCTTTACAACCACCTGATTCCGAACATTTTCCCCAAGTGCCAAAGGAACCAACAGGATTGCATGTTTGCCAGCAGCATACAGAACAAATCCAGCAAAGGACAAAAGACATTCAAGGACACTACCTTCCTCCAGCTCCGACCAGATTTCTCCTATGACATTCTCCACCAAAAAGGTCCGACTCTGCCGATTACGCCGTATGTGTTCCTTAGCTAGTGGCCGACAAAACGAAAATGACGGGTAAGAAAGCATGAAAAAGCAGAGAGTCATCTGCTGTCAGTGGAGGCAACAGCATGAGAAGGTTTAAGGACAGAACATTTAGCAATACTTAACCAAAATGGTTACATAAATACAACATCGGGTAACACAAAGCCAGACCATTTCCACCAGCCTCTATCTATCCATTGCATGGCAGCTGCCTTGGAAAAGAAGCCCTTCCTCCCCGGACACTGTTTGGGAGGAAGGGGTTAATAATTCGACCAGATTCCTGGCTTTGCTGTCCCAGAGAGGAACTTGTCTGCCAAGTAGCTAGCAGTGCACTTGGTTAAATAGCTTCACCTCAAGGAACTCTGTCTGATGCAAGGAATGTCGGGTATGTTTTCCTAATCTGGATCCTGGATAAAGGGGACTGGAGCCCTTTCCCAACCCCGGCGCAGGCAGTTTGCTATTCAGCCACAAGGTGGCGCTTCAGCCACAGGGCGGCCCCTCTGAACCCAGCAAAGCCCTGGCAGCCTTTTTCCTAACTCTGGGGAACCACAGGGCTGTGGCTCAGGCCACTTAGTGGCTGTGACGCTTTGCGTGGGGTGACTGCATCTCTCACAGGCCAGCCCTGGGAGGCAGACAGGGCACAAATCATCGTCCTTCTGTTTAGAGGAGAAAACCTGGTCAGACGAGGTTAAGGGGTTTATAGTTCCCACCACTCTGTCTCGCAGCTCCAAGTCCACCCTGGGACCATGCACCATCATGCCTTTGAGATTTAACAATTTACAGTGAAAAAAGCAGAACACGAATGCTAAGAGATGAGCAAGGTGCTCTGAGAGGGTATCTGGAGATCATCGGGGCACAGCTAAGGTACCCAGTTGGGACAAATCACTTAATTTGATTAAGTGATTAATTTGATTAAGCGGGGCTCGGTTTTCACATCCATAAAATGGGGATAATAATACTTGAGGGGCTCCTGGGTGGCTCTCAGTGGTGCCTCTGCCTTCGGCTCCGGTCATGATCTCAGGGTCTTGGGATCGAACCCCGTGTTGGGCTCTCTGCTCAGCGGGGAGCCTGCTTCTCCATCTCTCTCTCTCTGCCTGCCTCTCTGCCTACATGTGATCTCTGACTGTCAAATAAATAAATAAAATCTTAAAAAAAAAAAAAATAACACTTGACCTAAGTTCCTCACAGGCAGAGCAGGGCCTGATTCTCTTGATTTCATCTCAGCACTGTGCAACGCCGGGCACACAGTAGGTGATAAGGAAGGCAAAACACCAAGTCTGAGAGCCAGTACCCAACAAATGATCACTACAAAAAACAATTGAGAACAGCCCCCAATTTCACAGATAAAGGCTCTGTCCACTGCTCTGCTACCCCATCCCACAACCTTGCCCCCGGCCCCACCAATTTTTCTAGTCCTTAAACTGGTGCTGCTGACTTTGAATTGTCCTACAAATCCGTCTGTGGCTGGTTATCTAATTAAGGACCCTTGACCCTCTAGCCTCTTCTAGCAAGGAGCACCCTGTTTGCAAAACTGCGTCTTCTCTGGGGATTAGAATGCGAAGAGCCAGTCAGCTCTGAAGTCCTTCGGGCCCTGATGTCCAGTGGTGAGGTCGTTCTGGTTCGTGTCTCTGCCGGCCTGGGAGGGATCCTCAAACTCAGGGTTTCTCTCCCGTTCCCAGCACTGGCTCCGGATGAACTTCTACTGCAGACCTCACAGCGAACATTTGGTTTGCTAAAACAATCTAGATGTCTTTCATTTAAAAATGGCCAAGCCAGACTAATAAAACATATTCTGACCTCTCAAAACAAAACAACCAAAAATCACGTTTTCTGGCAAATTAAGCCTGAGATTATAGAAAAACAAAACAAAACAAAACAAACAAACAAAAACCCCAAAAACACAGATCCTTTACTGATCTTATGAAATCCTTTTGGTGCAAATTAATGTGGAGAGCAACCCCGTGGTGCTGGGGGCAGAGGGCCAGCCCCAGTCCCCTCAATAGTGTCCACTGGGTGTCCATCATGGAGAAGCAGCAGAGGGCAGAGAATGGCGAGGAGGGAGCACTCGGGGCCCCAATGCCATCCAGGGAACTTCTGGTTAGGGGCTCTGCCAGGCCTCCCCAGGCAGCTCCCCCTCCTTCCGGGAGACGGGCTGTAACTACAAGACAAGGCTGAGCCGAAACCCCTACTTCTCTGCCCCTCGGAGGGGTAGCGGCCAGCAGTGCGAGCATTTCAAAAACCCAAGAGATCTTCTGAGCACAAGACCAGAGAAAATTCCACAAGGCACAGGACACAGACGCGGAGCAGTGTGCGGGTGGACGGGATAAGTTAAAGGAAAGAGGGGTGCCTGGGTGGCTCAGTGGGTTAAAGCCTCTGCCTTCGGCTCAGGTCATGATCCCAGCGTCCTGGGATAGAGCCCTGCATCGGGCTCTCTGCTAAACAGGGAGCCTGCTTCCCCCCCTCTCTCTGCCTGCCTCTCTGCCTACTTGTGATCTCTGTCAAATAAATAAATAAAATCTTTAAAAAAAAATAAAAATAATAATAATAAAAAGTTAAAGGAAAGGAACCCCCACACTGAGCTCTCAGGGCAGGCTAGCTTTCGAAAACAGTTTCCCCTTCAAATGTGAGTGTTACACTTAGGACGTATGAAGAAGAGCTGCGCTACAATTAGCTAATTCCAACCTGAGTGTGAGTGTGTGTGTGTGAGAGAGAGAGAGAGAGAGAGAGAGAGAGAGAGAGAACCAGTAACAGCTCACATGCAAGGCAGGAAAGCCCAGTCAGTCCTGGGTCTCTTTTCCGATTAAAATGTAAATAAATGTCATCATAAGTATTTAAAATGTTAATATCTTTGATTCAGTCGGCCGGAAGGCTAGCCTCTGCCTGCTTTGGGGGAGGCCAAGCATGGCCAAAAATAAAAAAGGCAAATCACGCCCTCAGTGGAAGGGCAGCGGCTCCCATTGGCCACAGGTGAGTCCGGTGGGAGGTGCTAGAATTTACACACACACACACACACACACACACACACACACACACCCGCAGCCTGGGGGAGCAGAGTGACCGTGTGGAGAGGAAGAGGAGAATTCTGGAGGAGAGGTTGCAGGGCCTTGCAAAGGGGAAACCAGGGCCCCATGCCATGGGCGGAGCAGAGATAGGCCTCTGGTGTGGGGACCAAGGAAAACTTGGACCCAGGCTGGGGGGTTGGGGGGGCAGGGGGTGGCAGTTCTCGCTAACGTTCTCCCCCTCTCCTTCTTCTCTGGGCCTTCCAGGATGGGGTGGGCATGGGATGGGTGGCTTTCGGCCCTGAGGCCCTCCTCTGGGAACAGCACCCACAGCACTCCCCTTAGTGCCTGTGCTCACTCATGCTGGTGGCTCTGTCCCTGACCTAGGGTGTCAGATCTGAGGACCAATGCTGTGACCAGCTTGCACACAGGTAAATATTAAATAGGAGAAGTTCCCATCCCAGCCCCCGAGGCAGTCCCCCTCTCACAGCTAAATGAACATCAGCCAGGTCAGGAAGACTCAGCCCTGATCATCTGTGTTTTAAACTCTGCCAGGTTCATGGCTAAGACCCAGAATGAGCTCACCATACACGAAGCGGCCCTAATGAGTGAGTCAGCAGTAAATCAACAGTCTTAATGGAGGAATTAATAACGGGCAAGTGGGATTCAATTAAGAATCAGTTAATAAACAAGAAAAATTAAGAGCCTAGTAAAATGTAAGGCCAAGAGCTGCTCTCTGCGGCCATCCCCAGGTGCTTAGAGACAAGCACCCTCCCCCTGCCCGAGGCACAGGTGAGGACCCTGGGGAACTACCACGGAGCTTCCGAGGGTGCCTGGGGAGGCCAGGTCAGGGGGCCAGGACAGAGGTGCTTAGAGCTGACCTCTCCGGGAGCATCTTGATCCTTCGTTACAGTGCTAAGGGCCTTTCGGTAATCAGGGCCAAGAACCATGCAGGGGCGGGAGGGGAGCGAGCCGGGAGGGGAGAGAGAGAGCAGAGGTACCCTGTGCAAACCCAGCTCCCACTGCGTCGCCGGAGCTGTACCCGTTGACCGCGGCCTTGCTGCTCAGCTCGATCATCTGGTGCAGCCGCAGCTTCCGGCAGTAGATGGAGGCCGCCTCGGGCTCCAAGGCGATGATGAGCTGCTCGGCGTTCTCCGGGGAGGCCAGGCCTGCCTGGAAGACAGAGGCGGGACCACTCTGAGGACAATCACACACCTTGCGCTGACTGACGCCCTCCAGGAAGGGACACTCAGAGTCTGTTTGTCTGGGAAATTCCCCTGCAGGGCTTACACTCAGGGGTGACGGGGTGCTGGGCCCCTGGGTCCCCAAACGTGGTGGAGGGGCAAAGAAAATGTATGGGTGCCTTTGGGAAACGCAGGGCTCTCTGGGCCCTGGGCCTCTTTCATTTGGGACTTCCTGGGCCCAGAACTGGGCAGCATGAAGGGGGAGATGCCCCCAAACTCTGAAAACTATCAGAGGATGGAAGGCAGGTGGTCTCTTTCTGGTTACAATGGGCCAAAGGGTCTAAGGGCAGACCCCATCTTTGGTGGCCTGCAAAGCAAATGGGCCATCGCTGGACCTCAGCTAGACAAGCATTGGCTTTGGCTGTCTGGGAATCCAATGTGCCTCCAGCACACCAAGGAGGGCCCCGGGGCTCTGGAGAAAGCCCTCCTGGAATCACACAGTCTCACACTTTCTAGAATATGGGTCAGAAGGCAGCTGGCAGTTATTTTATTCAAAGCTGTTACCCCTTTAATGGCAGACATGCTTCTGCTCTGACATCTGGCTTGTTCCAATCACAGCCCCTGTGACTAGAGCCCGCCAGCACACTCCAGGACCACCCCACAGAGGGTGCTCGGAGACACGAGCCTGGCGTGGCCTCTGCCAGGTCCCTGCCCACCTCCCATGGCCTTGAACTGAAGCACGAGGCCTCACTCGCTGAAGCCATTCAAGCCCCAAGGGTTTTCGGGTCGCCAGCATGACGGGATGGAGACGTGCTGTGTGTCCTTCACCACTGTGTTTGCTGTCTCTTTTGCTGTTCCCTAGGGAACCTCGGGGTGCTGCCCTCGCACCTCACCCACTTTGGAGGAGACTCGATTCTACAAGGGGTAGTGGACTCAGCTTGTAGATCGGGGGTGAACCGTCTGCCTAATGTCATACGTGCACGGTGACCTCCGCCCAGGAGGAGCCAGCCTAGAGTCACAGATGGAAGGGGCTTAGAAGGTTCTGTTATTGGACAAGGAAGGGAGGGGGTTCAGGTTATAGTATTAGAAATGCAAAGGCCCTTCTCGGCCTTTTATTCAACTCCTTCACTTTATGGAGAAAGAAAGCCGGGCTTAGAGAAGTGTAGGGTGACCAACAGTCCCGTGTTTCCTGGGACATGGGCTCTCAGGGCTGAAACTCGGACAGTCTTAGGCTCCAGTGCATGTATGTGGCAAGTGTATGGGGCTGAGCGAGCCCAGACCCAGTCTTAACCTCGCAGACCAGCTCTTTAATTGGTTCTTTGTTCTCGTGCTTTCGTTGACTCCAGCTACCAGGGTGGGACCCAGGCCTTTCGACTTGGACGAAACTCCCGGGGTGTCTCTAAGGATCCTCCTTCTGCTGGTTTCAAGGTAGGATCTCTGTACCCAGTTACCGGGACAGCCCAGACGGTACACCGCCTCTAAGTACGTGCAGTCAATCTTCCGCAACGACCATGCCCCACGTGAACCAGTTAACTGTGTCTTAATGAGAAACCACTGGCAGGCAGGTGACTTTGCTCTCCCCACTGCCGACAGCAGATGCCTCACAAGCGGTGGGAGCCCTTCTGGAAGACCGACTTTAGAAAGCCCACACCGTCCGCAGGAAAACTGCCTCCTTACTGCTCTGCGCCCTCTGCTGTTAGCCAACCACACGGCAGCATCTCTGTCCATAGGTTTGGTCCCTGCGTGCAAGGAGGCCTGCTGCCCACCAACAGGCCCCTGACCCAGATGCAGAACAAGATCTCCCAGTACTCCTGACCCCAGGGACTCAAAGTCCCCCTCCCCCGGCCTCCCACAGGGTCACGTTAGACATCCTTGGCACCAAGACAGCTGCAGTGCGCAATGACGGAACAAGGCTTACAGACCTACGTGTCGCCAGGCAAGAGGAAACTTCTGAGCCTTAAGCCCCAGGATCCCAGAAGAAATCCAAAATAAAACCAAAAGCAGTCCCCCTCTAAAGGACCCGCTCTCCAAGACTGACTTTTCCACCTTTGTGGGCTTCCTAGAATAGAAGCTAACGGGTCCAGCTTCCCAGAAAACGGGGTGAGAAAGAAGGAAAAACTAGTTGCCACCAGGCCGACGCGTTTACGATGGTCTTCCAAAGCTCAGAAGGGAAGATGGCCTGGGAGGAGGGGCGAGAAGAGCAGAGCGCCAGGGCCGTGCCCGGGGCCGGTGGGAAGGGAGGAGAAGGCTCACTACTGCCCTGTGTCCCCCTGGGTTGTCCACCCCCAGGGGGTGGACTCCTCGTGGCCAGGAAGAGCATCGGGGGGCCTGGACCTGGCAGGGGGGGAGTGGAGGGGAAAAGAAGAAAAAAATAACTGCCTTCATCCCTCCCCACACCTTCCCTGAGACGGTGAGCAGCCACTCTGAGGCAGACGTGACAGATCAGGGCTCTGGCGTGGCTCCGTCCGTTGTGTCTGACTCTTGGTTTCAGCCCAGGTCACGGTCTCAGGGTCGTGAGATCGAGACCCGCATCAGGCTCTGTGCTCAGCAGGGAGTCTGCTTGAGATTCTCCCTTTCCCCCTCTCTCTGCTCCTCCCCACCCAAATAAATAAATCTTTAAAAAACAAAAACAAAAACAAAAACAGCTGTGAAGTATTTATACTGAAAACCAAATCAAGAAGTCCAGAGAAGTGAAAAGCATGGAGTACAGTTACACAACTTGAGGTGCCCAAGGGTCCCCGGTATGTGACTTACACAATCCGGCTTGCCCCCGGGAGGCTCCCACATCCTCAAGACATGAAAGACACACAGGCTGCCCCAGAATGCCCCAAACAGCATGGCCACACCCCTCCAGGGAGGCGTTTCATCTGTCCCCCGCCAGCTGGGTTGGCCTCAGGCCCACAGTAAAAGCTTTGTCCCGTTTCCACAGAGGGTTCCTCATGGTTCCCAGGAGAGGATGCAGATGGGGAATGGAGGTGCAGAGGACTTCAAACCAGGGGTGGGGGGTGGGAGGTAAGATCCGTGAGAGGCCCAGGACAAAGTAACCACACTCCTCTGCTCGAACCGGCCCCCAACCTGCTCCCCAGAGAGGACAAGGGTCCATGTCCCAATAGCACTCCCATGGAGGCCTCGGCGGAGAGCTGAAGGGCTGAGGCAAGAGGAGGCGGCTGGCTCTGCCAGGTTCCCGCTCCCTAGGACGGGTCCCAGAGCTGCTTTTGGACTCCAAGAGAAGGAGGAAATGCAAAAGAATCTGCCAGATGCTCAAAAACTCAGATGTCTTTATCTCTGGGCAGAAGGGCCCAGTGCCTGGAAGGGTAGGCTTTCTTCCTGCATAAACACTCGCAGTCCTTCTCAGCAGAAGCCCACAGCCTGGCAACTGTCAGGTGTCCCGGGATCAGGCCCGGGTCCACCAGAGCAGGGGAGCGCTCGCTGCTTTGGCGAATTCTGCCTCGGAAGCTGGTACCTCGCAGGTGCTGTTCCACGCAAGCTCTCTGTCCACTGGACCCCGCCAGCCGAGCACTTAGCCTATTCTGTCTCCAGCTCCAGATCATGCAGACACACCGAGCCTCTCCTGCAAGATGCTACACTTTCCGAGGGCAGCACACAGTGGGTGCTCGGCGGGAGCTGCGGAGAGAATGAACCCCCCATCCCCCCAGCCAGCCTTCCTTCTGTGATGTCCTGGCCCTTGTCTCCAAAACGCTGAATGACAACCTTCCGCTGTGGCTGTTGTTTTTCCCTCCAATGTGATTCCTTTCCACAGCAGTGCAAAGTGTAACTCCACGTTAAATGAGATCATCCTATGTAAGGGAATGTCTTTTATTTGACAGGCTTCCAGAACCCACGAGGGTTAGACATTTTTGCCAAAATGCCTCTAAAAATCAACTAGACTATTTCCCGTCCACTATGACTATCCCTCAAGACTCAGTTGGAAATGTCTCCCATTCTAGGTCTTTCCTGGAGGCCTCGGAAGAGGATCAGCTGTTCTTCCTGCTACGATCTATTCAGTGAATGCTCCTGGAGGGTCTAAGGGGGTTCTTAGCAGTGAATTATAAAACATAGAGACTGAACCTACTTTTTCAACAAGGATTTGACACAAGAGTAGTTTTTGGAGTTTCACAGATAAAATTGTACCCATAAAGTGCTCCACAGGCCCCGCCAGCCCCAGCACTGAATCCCAGGCTTCCGAGCGGAGGCTCCAGAACCATCCCCTCCAGGCCTGTTTCTTCTGAGATGCTACCCAGAGCCTCATCTCTTGCCCTGCATCCAGGCCTCTTCCCCCAACCCCACCAGGCCAGTGGAGGAACGAAGCTCAGTCCCCATCTGACTGTGCCATGCACTCGGGCTCACGGGGCCGCCAAGGAGCCTGAAGAAAGGATTCCATTTCCTGCATGCAAGCAGGGGAGATGTGACCAGTTTCCCAGCTGCCCTGATGGAGTTCCATCCTACCTCATCCTTCCAGCTCTTCCTCCTGAAGCCAGGTTGATGGACAGCACTTTGGGGGCAAGGGATGGTGGGTATCCTCAGATCTCAGAAGCTGGTTGACCCAAGAACTATGGTTTTGTGCTCAGGTTCTGTATTAGCATTTTCCAGAGAGACAGAACCAGTAAGACATATGTAAACACAGAAAGAGATCTACTGTAAAGAATTGGTTCACACCATATGGAGACTGACAAGTCCCAAGATCTACAGTTGGCAAGCTGGGGAACCATGAGAGCTTATGGTATCATTCCCTTGCTGGCAGCCTCAAGACCCGGGAAGAGCTAATGTTTCAGTTTGAGGCCAAAGGGAGGAGAAAAACAATGTTCCAGTTTAGAGGCAGGCAGGCAGGAGGAATTTCCTCTTATTCTAGTGAGTTTCAGCCTTTTGTTCCAGTCAGGCCCTCAACTGATTGGATGAGGCCCACCTACCTTAGGGAGGGCAATCTGCTTTACTTAGTCGGTCAATTTAAATGTTAATCTCATTCAAAAATACCCTCACAGCAAATACTTGGAGTGATGTTTCACCAGATATATCAGTACCCCTTGGCCCAGTCAAGTTTACACATAAAATTAACTATCAGAGGTACACATTTCTCTTCTGTATAATTAAATGGAGGATGAGGAGAGAGAACTAGAGAGATGCTAATTTTGGCTGTGCTTCATTTCCATTTTGTCATGGGGACTCTTCCAGAGGACAAGCTAAAAGATACCACAGGCTAGTTGGCAAAGCAGTTGTGCCCCATAACTCCCTCTGCCACTCTCCCTGAAGTACAAAGGCTGCAGTGAACCACTCAGCTGTGAGCAACCTGAGACTTACACAGGTTACACAGGATACGAATCCAGCACCATCCATGTCCCAGCACCCAGAAGTCTCCCGGTATGGGTCTGTTTAGTGAATAAATGAATGAGTACACATGAGTACATGCATGAGTAACGAATGAGTATGAATAAATGAATGAGTAAACAAAGAATGACTGAATGGCCCCTGCCATCTTGAAAGCCATTCGGTGACTAAACTGGACACAATTATCAAATCAGAATTACAAAGAGCCAAAAATTAAGCTGCACAAAGTCTGTACCCATCAGAAGTTGCCCAGCATCTGAAGGATGGGCCAGTCTGCAGAGTCATCTCTGGGGTTCAGAAAGAGAAGCCCCCACATCCATAAATGCTGGTTACATTCACCCCTCTGAGGTGCCATTTTGGTTTTGCCAAACCCCGGAGGGCACACACCCCCATCTGCCTGGTTTCCTCCTCACCCGAAGTATGAGGCGCCTCCCCGCCAGGCCCCACTGCTCCAAGAGGCAGTCCTTGGAAGAGCCTGCCCAAGGCTCCAGCAGCCCTGACAAATCTCCCAGTCCCTGCACCTCTTTCTGTTTCAGGCTAAAAATAAGAACTGACCCTTTTCCGGGTCACATGTTTGTTGCTGTAGTTTTCCTGTGGGAAAACAAGAGTGAAAGCAATGAATCCTGAGTCTCCTTCCCATACAGACTCAGAACACTGGCCGTGTCTTCGTAGACAGCCATGTCCCGGTGTCCCGTCTTTGGGGGTGCTGCCTGAAGGCCGACACTGTGGACAAGCTCCAGGGTGCCCCGGGCTTCTGAGGACAGCGAAACTACATTTGGGTTTCTTACTTTTTAAAGAAGTTGCCTCTTTCTGGAACTTACCCTCTTCCTTCATCCCTATAAAAACAAAAATCTATTTTTGGCAGACACTCGACTGAGCCAGATTCTCACGCTGAAGGGGAGCGCAGAGGAGAGCCTGCGGCAGAGAAGGGAAGAGGGGAAGTAGGGAGGAGGAGGTGGGGGGTGGGCAGGGACATGCTCTCCCTGGAACTCTGCCTGTCACCTGGAGTGAAGCTCCAAGCGGTGAGTACAATTCATGACACCAAGGTACCCAAGGCCATTTTGTTGCATTCGGTGCTCAGGGTTGCTCCGGTGGGTGTTTTGAAAGGAAATTGATACCTATGGCTACAAACTCAACATCAGAGACATGTCCCCTGGGAGCGGGGTGGGGAGGGCGCAAGGGAACATCTATTACGTTGGTGACTTGCCGCAGCCCAGCTCAGGTTGAAGGCTCTGGAAATGGACTCTCATTGCATGGAGTGGACCAAGGCCCCACGGTTGGCTTTCTTTAGCCTGGGGGAGCCATCTCGGACCCGGGGGTCAGAACAGCAGGTCAGCACAGCTGGCCATTCTTGCCATGAAGTCAAACCCTCGGGGAAGCCCCGTCGTGGCACATGTGGCCTGCGGACAGTGTGAGGCTTGGCGGCCATGACGGTTCGCGGTACCAGGGATGCCCCCAGCGCCCAAGAGGGATGGGCTGGCCTTTGGCACTAGAATGTTCTATCCATGGCGCCACACTGACTGACACATTCCTTGGCCATGCCACTGCCCCTCCAGGTGTCTGCACCACGCAGGTCTGGTGGCCTCACCACCCCTGACCGTGTGTGCTCCCGTGTTGCTCACGAGGTGAAACGTACAGACCAGCCTATTTCCCTCCTGTCCCAGCTGTACACATGTGCGGATCTCAACCTCCACACCAAGCTGATGTGCTTGGTGCAAGGCCATCGGCTTTCTCTTTGTTCCTTTCTTCTTCAAACATTATTATTGCCCAAGCCTTTTCCTGAGGTTCCGTTCACTCATGGAGAAATGTCTCTGTACCCCAGTTTGAAATCCAAGCTCTGGGGAATCTACAGGATAGGATATATAAAGCCAGAAAGAAAATCGAGCCCGGCCCAGCCCTTGTGGGCCCAACCCCAGTAGGCCAAACCCTCTCTCCTCCCCCAAGAGGAAGGTTTCATGTCCCCTGGCCCGTGGGAGACCCCTCACTGCCTCCCAGGGAGGCCTATGAGGGCTGGGGACACCTGAGTGAGGTGACAGTCACCCCCATGGGCATCCTGGGCTGCCACCTGCCCCATCCCCTCACTCACCTGATAGGCAGCTTGTCTCATGAACTGCTTGGCCGGCTGCTTCCAAATGGCAGGCACCGTGATGACCCATCTGACATCAGAGTTCTCGAACTCCGACCCCGCCTGGTCACTCAGCTCCTATAGCCAAGGGAAATGCAGCAGGTCAAGTGGACACAGCTGGTCCTCCACAGCTTCACGGAGAATTCCAGGCTTCCTGGCCATGAACTCTTGGGCCATCTACCCTACAGCCTGCTGAACGTACCAGTGTCAGGGAGCAAGGGTCTGCCTCCCGAATATTCCGCAAGCTGGGAGCTCTACTAGGAGGCAAGCAGGTCACAGGCCTTTGGCTACTTCTGAGTCATGTGACAGGATACATGATAGGCTCCCAGGCCTCAGTTTCCTCATCTGCACAATGGGGATAATAATACCTAGCTCACACTGTTGTTGGGAGGGGTAATAACTTTCTGAGAGCTACATTTACTGGGAGCTTACTCTGTGACAACCTCATCTAGCACTTTGCATACCTCATCTCCATGAGTCCCAGGGTCTCACTAGGAAGGGATGATAACGGCGCACCTTTCCTACAGATGGGAGCCTGAGTCCTAGCTACGCGCAGTACCTTCTGACGGCTGCACAGCTACAGTGACAGAGCCAAGATTTGGACCAGACCCAGGGATATCTTAACTCTCAAGACCAAGGTCTTCACTAAATTGTCACATGTGGTTTGTATCTAGAACAGGGCCTGGCTCACAGCTCTGCATAACACCTGGTGGCAGTTGTTGTCCGAGTCGTCCCTGTCCCCTGCCTTATGGCACGGCCAGCACCTCAGAGGAGTCCTCCTTGCAGGACGGGAGGGATATGAACGACTAAGCAAGAACCGTGCTGCTCTTAGCTTTTGGTTCAAGTTAAACCACACCGGATAACGGGGAGGGGCAGAAGCACCAGAGGTTCACTCCAAGTCCATGCAGACAAGACACGACTCTAGAATAATTCTCAGACTCAGTATTCCCATCTGTAAAATGGGGAGAACAGAACTAATGCTCTGTGTTTCTGGGGAGATTGAGAACACATAGGAGAAGCTCACCCGAGAAGGCCTCTGATAAAGCTTGTTCCTTCCTACCACTCCCCTCTGGTCGCCACACGCACCACACAAATCTGAAATCAAACCTAAACTCGCACCAACACGCGTCTGCGTCTGAGTCGGTTCTGGGGACAGGTTTCAGAAGATTAATAGGCTGCGGATTTGTTTCTTCTGATAGGTATCTCATTTCCTCTGTTTCAGTAGATACCTTGGGTTGGAGCCATCGTGTCGCAGAATTAACTCCCTCTATGATCAGTCAGTAAACTTTTTTTTTTGCCCTTTTTTTTTTTCATTTCTAATTGTGACAGTAACCCATAACATAAAATCGACCACGTGAACATTTTTTTAAACCTACAGCTCAGCAGTGTTAAGTATGTCTAGTAAATTTTTTTTTCAAAACAAAACATCTCTGCATGAAGCCCAAGTGAAAAAGTGGGTTTTGTTTTGTCTTTAATCGTGTTTTATTTCCTTGCGGGTCTGCACTGGACTTAAAAGGCAGGTGAGCGGTGACACATGTTGGGAAGGTTCTAGGCACACCGCCAAGTGCCATCCAGGCTATTTTAAATTCTTTAAACAGGAAAAGGCTCAAAAGGTGAACGATGGGCTTCCCTGGCCATAGGGACGGTTGTTTAAATAAGACATTTGGGGGCACCTGGGTGGCTCAGTGAATTAAGCCAGAAAAAATAAGGAAAGATAAGATGTTCTGAACATTATTATCCCTAATATATGTGACATTTAAAAGAACGTGAGGGGGACGCCTGGGTGGCTCAGTTGGTTGGACAACTGCTTTCGGCCCAGGTCATGATCCCGGAGTCCCAGGATCGAGTCCCGCATTGGGCTCCCTGCTCCACGGGGAGTCTGCTTCTCTCTCTGCCCTTCTCCTCACTCATGCTCTCTCTCACTGTCTCTCTCTCAAATAAATAAATAAAATCTTTAAAAAAAAAAAAAAAAAGAACGTGAGGGCCACCTGGGTGGCTCAGTGGGTTAAAGCCTCTGCCTTCAGCTCAGGTTATGATCTCAGGGTCCTGGGTTCGAGCCCCACATTGGGCTCTCTGCTTGGCAGGGAGCCTGCTTCCTCCCTCTCTCTGCCTCTCTGTCTACTTGTGATCTCTGTCCATCAAATAAATAAATAAAAATCTTTTAAATAAATAAGTAAATAAATAAGCTGTTTGTTCGCCAGTGGATTTAGTACAGCTTAGAAGGGAAAGGACCCTGCCATTAATTAAACTTCCCATTATGTTGCACTTTTCACTTGCTTTCCTTTGTGAACAACGAGCCTGCTTCTCGCCTGTGATGCCCAAGATACGCTGCTTCAGTAGACACTCTATCTTGTTCATCCTGGTCCAATGTGCAACTGTCCCCTCCTCTGAATCTGTGTGTCCTTCAAACACCAGACCACCCTCTCGTGAAGGGCCCGGCTCCTACAAATCTCCTCAAAAAGCTTTTCTTCATGGAATTTCTTTATAGCATGTTCCCTGCTGGGAGAAAGTGCGAGCAGGTTCCTGCAGTTTTCAGCTGAGCTGACATGTTCGAAACCACACCCCCTCCTGCACCCCTGCTGGACCTCTGCCCCCTTCCTCTCTCCCCTCCCCTTCTGAGATGGGCTGTTCACTCTTTCCCCCTTCATCAACCAGAAACACAAGCCAGTGTCACAACTTTCTTGGGTCCTAAATTTTCCCCAGGTCCCCATGTCTCCTCCTCCTAATCCAAAGGGCCCCCGAGTCATCGGCCTCCCTTGCTCCCTCACCTGTCTCCGGGTGGCCACAGGCACTGTAGGTAGAGGGTCCTTCATTGGCTGTCTGGCCTACCGGGCGCCGAGCCCATCCCTCTGAGATCCCTGCTCTCCGGGCCGGCAGAGGTCCACATCTCCGTACCTCCTGGTCCCCTTTGCTGCTGCCTGGGACGATGAGGCTCTCCTCACTAACTTCGTCTCCCTCCTACTCCTTCCTTCTATCCTCTCCCCTCTCCCCTCTTCTGGTGGAAGAATTATTTCCCAGAATCTACTTGTTCCCTCTGCCCTGGCCCCCTCTTTCTTCTTGGTTTCCACGTTCCCCACATGACTCCCCACTCTCCAAGTCTCAGAGCCCTCAGACGCACCTGCTTCAGGATCTGAGTCCACTGCTTCCATAGGGCTTTCCTCCACCCTGCAGGCCGTGGGGATGCTGCGGTCTCCCTCCCTCAAACTCTGTCTCTGTGGCCATGGTATTCCGCTATTAGAAATCCTGGCATGGCTCCCCATAACCCAAGTAGTTCGTTAGCTTGGCCTTCGAGGCTTTGCAAGATCTCGACCCAAGCTTGCTGTTCCCACTGGACCCCGCAGCCTTGCCTTCTCTCATCCCAGACTGTTTGCTTTCCAGAGCTGTCTGCTGTGTTTTTTTCCCCTGCGCTCTTCCTGCGCCACTCCACCAGCCCGAAACACGCACCGTTCCAGCTGCTGCCGCTGAGGGGCCCCTGATGCACCTTCTCCAGGGAGCCTTCCCTGCTTACCGCCCGTTGGGCAGAACCTCTGCCTTCACCAAACCCCGAACAGCCACAGTGACCCCCTCACAACACCAATCCGCTGACTACATGACCACAGACTCCTTCATACTCTGTTTACTACAATGCTGCCAGAACCTGTCCAGGATCGGGTACACAAAAAGTACTCAAAAAAGAAGAAGCAGGTGCTTGAATGGATGAAAGCAGGATTACATTCTCACGTCTGTTTCCCTCAGGCCCTATTTCTAGAACTCTATTCTATTTTTAGAGTTCACTAAATTTCTTCTAGTGATCCCATAATGCCAAATGTTTCTACAGTTCCCAATTCTTTCTGGATGGAGCTCAGAACACGAGGCTCTTTACCCATCTGACTCCCACCTGCTCGTCACCATGCCCACAGTCAGAGACACCGAGTGGCCAGCTGTAGCCACCTAGAAGTTAGCCAATCCCTCCCCATCCGGGCCTCACCGCACAGACTTTGCAATAATCGTCCAAGTGCTCACTCAGGCACCAGCTTCTCCCCTGGGGTCTGGGAGGACAGGGAGGAGGGATGGCAGCAACCCCTTGCCAAGAGCCTACTGTGCCCCGCCCCGAGGGAGGTGTCTCGTGCCTGGTTTAATATCCAGCAACCCACGAGGTACACAACCTGCCCCACTCTTCCAGGTAGGAACGTGGGTATTGGAGAAATCAAGCACCTCACCCGAGACCCACCAGCTGCCACACGTGTCTCCTGAGATATAATTCATATACCATAAAATTCTCCTTTTCCCAGTGTACAGTTCAGTGGGTTTTCATGCATTCAGAAGGTTGTGCAACCATCACACTCTCTAATCCCGTCACCCCAAAGAGAAGCCCCATTCCTATTAGAGTCACTCCTGTCCCGTCCCTCAGCCTGTGGCACTTGCCAATCTACCTCCTGTATCCGGGGATTCACCTGCTCTGGACATTTCTTATGAATGGAATCATAGAGAATTGACTGGCTTCTTTCACTCAGCGTAATGTTGTCAACGTTTCTTCCTGTGGTTGCGGACGTCCGTGATTCATTCTTGTCTATGGCTAATATTCCCTTGTACAGAAAGACCCACTTAGGGACCCTTCCATCCACCGATGGACATTCGTGTTGTCTCACCTTTTTAGTTCTAACAAATGCTGCTGCTGTAAACACTCACAGACAGATTTTTGTGGAAATACGCATTTTTCCTTTCTCTTGGCTATATACTGAGGAGCAGAATCACTGGGTCATGTGGTAGCTCTATATTTAACCTTTGAGAAACTGCCAGATTTCTCTACAGCAGCTGCCCTATTTCCCATTCCCGCCAGCAGGGGCACGAGGGTGCATCCTGTTTTCTGAATGGAAATTCTCCGTTTCCTCCCTCGAGGTCATTTCCTCCCTCGAGGTCGTGTCCGCTCCCCTGACCGGCGGGGGTGCCTCCCCCTGCCACAGGGCCCTGGCACGTGCCCTACCTTCAGCGCCTGCTCCCTGAAGTACTGCAGGGCGTACGCAAAGATTTCAAGGGCTTGGACTTTCTTGCCGTTTGCTGCCGTTAGGTCTGTATCCATGTTGAGGTCCTAGTGGGGGAGACGAAGGAACAGTAAGACGGGGGAGCAGAGACGCGCCTTGTGGCTTCGGGAACTCCTACCTGGAGGTCTGGGAAAGTCAGCAAGCCATACTTCTGTTTCCTGATATTTGGTAGACTAGGACAGTGTGTCCCCTGCTCTCCCCCAGTAACGGTCCTGGCAGCATCACCCCCTTCCTGTGGCGGGGGCCCCGGCTGTTCCCTTTAGCCCCTACCTCGCACTTCTCCCTCCCTTCCTCCTTCCCTCTCATTCTGTCTCCCCTGGATCCTCACGAAGCAGAGGTTTCAGGGAGATGACAGAGCCCAGGAGGAGAGAAAGGCAGCAGGCACCACTGCTGATACAGCTGACACACTATGACACACTATTTCCACCCTCGGACACTCACAGTCACCTCAGGAGCCCCCCTCACAGAGGCCTCAAGCATCCCGCCAACTTGCCGACGTCCGTGACGCTGAGCAGACAGGAAGCTTTCACTGCCCATGAGCTGCAACCAAGTCGCCCAAACAGAAGAGCTCCTATTTTAAGGTTTGTGCTTAATCCTCTTGGGAGTGCAGCACCGCCGCCTGCCTTCTCCACCAGAAGTCAAAGCAGCCCGGCTGGGAGACGCTGGCCGCACTGGGGTCATTCAAAAACGACCAGAAAAGTGCTCACAGCGTGGCAATGGGCAGACAGTGGGGCGATCATCAGGAGGAGGCCCCCAAGGCAGCCCAAACCCAGAGCCTCCTTACTACCAGAAGCTGCTCCTGCCAGAGGCTCCGCACTACCAGAGGCTGCTCCTACCAGAGGGAAAAACAAAAACCAGCCCCCAGGTTGGTCCAGACGGGTAAGGAGGCTTTGCCTTTAGAGCGTGAAGGGGACAAAGAGACTGAACCAGCCTTGCGGAGCCTGTCCGCTGTTCTGACCCATCGGCACGAGCTCCTCTTCCCAACCAGCAACCCCACCCCTGCTGCTCAACAAAGACACCCCGAGTTGGGGAGGCAACTCGCAGGCTCAGAAAGGGGGCCGACCACCAGGAAGCCATAGCGCTGTTCGGCAGCGACTCCCATCAGGTGAAACGGGAAGGAGGCATTTCCAGCAGAAGCCTGTCTGCTTCACAGAGACAGAGCCACGCCGATGCGCCCAGAGCCTTGGAGGAAGGGTGCTGGCTGGTGGGTGTCCCTTAACGTGTGTTTGTACCTGCAAACACGCAGACAAACGAAAGCAATCACAATGGGAGCCAGCAACCGGCTGGAACTTTCTCGGTACCAGCACGGCTTGAAGAGCTTTAGGTAGCTTGATTCCTTTAATCCTTCCACCATCCCTGTGAAGAAGGCCCTGTCAGGGTCTCTATTTCACAGAGGGCCCAGAAACGTTAAGTCACTGGGATTAAGTATCTTGCGAGTATCAGAGGCAGGATTTAAATCCAGGCCGTGTGGTCCCAGCGTCCGTGGTCCTAAACACCATCGCCACCCTGAATCTCTAAATACCAAGAATTAAGGAAAATCTGTGGGATACAATGCTCAAACTGAAAAAACCCTATCCTGTGGTCCAAACTTTTCCATGAAGCTTGGCGGAGGGCCTCGAGGATGAGGACAGCTTATAGGACACCGGCATGCTGGGAACAGAGCCGCTTGGCGAGCTGAGCCACCAATGCATTAGGCACCTGTTTCCTAGGCGACCTGTTTCCCCAAACAGATGTTTACTTCTAAACTTGTTAGCTAATCACCTCTGCCCTGGGTCCCCCAAATGCCCTCAGCCCCTGAGGCACACCTACAGGACCCCGGGGTTTCCCAACAACCCAGCAACTGCGGAGGGAACTCCCGGCCCCCGAGGAGATGGTGGACACCAGCAGGTGTCCGCCCTGACCGATCAGTTGCCAAAGCACACACGCTGTTAAACATTCTGAATATCCCTCCACCCGTGTGTGTATCAGAAAGTGCCATGTATTCTGCAAAAGTGTTTTGTGCTCCAGGTTGTTTCCAAAATCAAGGTAAATGGATGTTAGTTTCTGCTCGGGTGAGACCTGAGGGTTTCCTGGATTGGGAAGACCTCGGGGCCGGAGGGAAGGTTGGCTCTCCAGTGCAGAGGACATGGGGGCCGGGGAGAGGCTTGCTTACCCCAGTGGTATGCAGCTTCATCTTGAACTTCTCCAGGTACAGCCACTGCTTGGCCTCGTTGGGATCCAGGTCGTGGTAGAAGTCCCTGGCGGCATACCCGAAGCTGTGGAACTTCCTCTCGGGAGTCAACAAGATGGTGGTCGGAGTCTTCTGGTTGGACACCCCGGGGTCACCCCCTTCCCATCGCCTGACACCAAGGAAAGGCAGAGGTTATGGGACCTTCCTTCAGAATCGCAGTTCAGGCCCACTGGTGAGAATACCTACCGTGTGCACGATTCTCACAGGTGTGGGAGCTCACGGGAGCTGCGACACAGGCACGCTCTGATTCCGTTGGTTGAGGGGTGATCAGAGACACGACTTCAGTCAGAAAGAAAGAGGAAAGGGGCAAGCACCAGGGTCTTCCTCAGGAGAAGGTCTGCTTTGATCGTCCACTCAGCATTTACTGAGCACCTACTGTTTGCCAGTGCTGGCGACCCAGACATGAAAACTTTAGGTCTCTGTCTAGGATGTTATGTCTTTTTTGGGGGGTGGGTCTGTTTTTTTAACTTGCAAGCCCTCAAAACAAATGTATAGTCAGCTTGTGTCCTCTCTAAAACAAGGTAGGGTATAAACCAATGCACAAGTGCCTGCCTTACCACAGGGGAACGAGGGACCCAGGATATACCCTAGGGGTCAGAGAAGGCAGAGGTGCCGGATGGTAGGGCGAGGGGAGGAATGCAGGGCTCAGGAGAGACTCAAAGGACTGACAGAGAGCTGCCGGGCTCTTGAAGGAGGGGAGGGCACTGCGGGCTGCCCAGAGGTAGGAGAACATGGGGCCTGTGCGGGGTTGCTAAGTGACTGGGCAGGGTGGAAATGGAGCGTATAAAAGGGAAGTGTGAGAAAATCTAAAGGTTAGAGGGCAGGGGCATGGCAGAATCAGAGCTGTGGGTGACCAGAGCACGCTGAACTAGACGGGAGACTGAGCAGGAGTCTCAGGCCTTGTCTGGGAGCGGAGGCGAGGAGGCTCAAAGAGGGTAAAAGAAAGGGGTGGAGGTGGACGAGCCGTCCTGAGACAGAACTGAGCCACGTGGCCATGGTGTGAGTAGGAGGAGAGGTACCAGAAGCCCCCACGTGGGAGCCAAAGGAGAAAGCCCTCTTCCTGGAAACCTGGAGTCCTAACCAAGGAGGCCACAGGGAACAAGGGACTCCAGGTGAACCTGCTGGCATTGAACTCCCCGGAGGGGGCTAGAGATGCAAGCCTGGTGTCCACAGGAGAGATCCAGAAGAAGACAGACTTGGTGCCTCCCTATTGGGTGACAGCCATGGTAACAAGGAGGCAGGAGAGCCCTGATGGGAACTGTGAGGGGGGAAGGGACTACATCCTGCAAGGCTGGATACTGAAGAGACGCCAGAAGAGGAGAGAGGGGGGTACAGAGAGGCAGGCAGAGACGATGGGAGTCTGTCCTGGAGCTGATGAGAGTGTAAGGTAGGGCAGGGTGTAGGTGGGGCCCCAGAGAAGCTTCTTTCTTCTCTTAGGTAGAAAGACAAAGAATAGGAAGAGTGGAGAAGGCAGGTGATTCGGTGCCTTCCCTTCCCCCTCTAGAAGGCAGGAGAAGCCACGGCTGCCAAGGCGGCCAGGATGCTCACTTCTCTCCCAGGTCCTGACTCTGCAGCTGCCCTCCCCCAACCTTGTGTTGCCATGAACCGTAGAACCACAGGAGCCTCTGGTGCAAACACAGTATCCTAGAGGAAGCAGGCCTCTTTCTCTGGCCGGCCAGGAAGGTGGCAGAGCGCCTGGCAGGACTGGCACCTGCTCCCGATATGGCATCGTTAGGCTTCGGGGGGACTGTCACAACCCAGGTGGACAGCCAACCTGGCTCGACCATGCAGCTGGGTCTGGAATCATCCCCTGGCAGCTTCCCCTGTCAAAGCTCCATCGAGGTGCAGGCTTCTCCCCAGGGAGCCAAGGTCCCCATGATGAGCGCACCTAGACCCTGGGTTCCTCCCCACCCCAGTCGCCAGGCACCCAGGCGCTCCCCACACGACCGCTCACAAACAGACTTTCTGTTACCATCAACCACTGACATTTTCACGAGGCAATAAACCTCCAGAGTTTTTTCCCCTTCCAACTTTTATTACTTCATTCCTATTAAAATAAAAAAAAAATTGAACTTTCTCCACCATAATTGTGTCAGTCTGTGTCAAGGTTAAGTGCTCTGGTTGAAATAAAATTCAGGTAGGGCCTCCCTCCAAAATCTCTACAAGAATGGAGAGGATGTCTCGAGAGGTCTGAGCACTGCTGATACTATGGGGATCTCCCCCCGCTCCCCCCTAGCAAATGCAATGTTATTTCTTCTTCTTCTTCTTCTTCTTTTTTTCAATTTTCACTGCAAGACTATCCCTTCAAAATAACATTTCTTAAAACAACTATGTAGAGGCTGATAAACACTGACTCTAGCTTTTGAGAGCATGCTCGTCTCCCTTCCGGGTTTCCATTTCCGGGGACGGCAGAGAAGACATCACAGCAGGTGCCTCGCTGCCCAGAGGCAGAACCCTGGTGACGACTAAGGAAGAGGGCTCTGCTATCATCGGGGTTCTCTACTAGAACTGGCTTTTCATTATTTCCTGATAATACAACACAACAGGTGTCTGGAGCCTCTTAGGACAACCCAACCAAGATTGGGGTTGGGGGTCACTTTTATTATGACTTCTATTTTAAGCAGCACACTACAAAAATGCATAAGATCTTAATCTGGGAGCTATCACTAATTCTTCAATTGCCAGTTAAATGAGTTCCAAAGCTGATCACAGGGTATCTTCAGAGCCATCCTTGGATTTGGAAAATCAGGGAGATAAAGCCCTGACCCCCAAAGCTTGAGGGGCCCCAGACTCTGCAGGAGAGCCATGCACCAGACTGGAGGAGCCTGTGTGGGCACCAGAACAGACCAGCATCCTCACAGACAGTCCATCACGTGTGGATGGGGAGGACAAGAGGGTGTTCTAGGCGGCTGTGTGCATGGCGGGGCGAGGCGGAGGAGGCCAGCGATGTACTGAGCACACAGTGTGTCCTAAGAGACCCCAGGCTACTCCAGTGACCCTATAGGTTGACCTGGCTGAAATTCCCCCCACTCTGCTTTCTGGTTACTATCATTTAAGGACTAGCACCTTCCCTATTTACATTTTACTGTGTATTAAGCTTGAAGGAAATCTCATTTCACATGCACACACACTCTGTGAGACAGACACTGACATTACCCCCATTTCACAGATGAGGAAACAGGTTTAGAAGGTCCAGCAACTGCGCAAGGTCGCACAGTGTGTGGCCGAGCAGACGCCTGGGATCTCCTCCATCATCGCAAACTGCCTACAAGTCAGCACCCCTTCCCCGGGCTGCGTGCTGGAATAACCCGGGTCAGGTTTCAAACACGCCATCTAGGCCCTTCCCTAGACCCACTGAGTCAGAATTAAACTAATGCTTTTCCAGACCAGAAACCTGGAGTCCAGAGATGAGAGCGGGCTCAGGGGCGCAGGGGGTTTGGGGCGGTGCTGGGCCAGAATCCAGGACCCGCCTACAAAATGTCATTCACCTGCTTCTTAGGCAAATCCCCCTCCCCTCCCCCAGGGCCCGCCTCCAAGTCTCCACAGGTGCGGTGATGGCACCCCCACACCGCCCTCCCTACCCACAGCACTCACCTCATCACGTGGATACATTCTGGCTCCTTGGTGAAACTGTAGGCGTAGCCGCTGGACGTGGTTCCGAAGTCAATGGCCACCACCACCAGAAAGGTCTGCTGCTCCGAGACATTTGGGTCAGCATCATTCTGCGGACGTTTGGGGTAAAGCATGAGGGGTGGGCGGGGGTGGCCGAGCCTGGCCTTCCACTCTGCCCAGGTGTGCACCCACTACAGACAGAATCCTGGCTCAAGTGTGCCACAAAGTGAGCCCTACAGAGAGAGTGGGCCAACCTCAGCCCCCACCCAAGGGGCTCCAGGAAAAAATGGAGGTGCCCCCTGAGCAGAGGCCCGGGCGGCCAGGGTGAAGACACCTGCCCACAGCCTGCCCATCAGCCCCTTTATCAATTGCTTGTAAACTTGACTAATTATGGAAAGTCCATCCAGTCTGGAAGCCCAGTTGTTCCCTGAGTGACACAACCTTTCCCTCACGGCCCCCTCCCCCGAATTCCCGCGTAGACACGGCCCAGAATGCTCTGCCAGCTGTGGCCTTGCCACATCTCTAGTGACCACTCCATCTGCTCAGGCGTGTTGTGTGTGGGAGGAAGGCTTTGCGTGCCAGGGACCCTGGCCATGTGATCCTGGCAAGTCGCATCCCCTCAGGGGACACAGCCTTTCCTCAATGTCAAGTGAGTGGATCAGGCCATTCCAGGTTTCCAAACCTTCTTTTTTTTAATGCAGTGTAGACTTTTTTTTATATCCCCAGAACTTCACGTTATAAACCCATAGATGTTGGGCTTGACATGTACTGCTTAGAGAAGGGGGTGAGAGCCCCACCCATCTGGCCTCTCGTCTCACAGTCCCCCCTCCCCACACACCCCAAGGTGACCCTGAAGCTCTTATGGGGGCCCCTCAGAGTGCTGTCTGGAAAGCCGCAGTGTGAGGACGGGCCATAGGAGGCCAGCCTCCCAGGGTTCCCAGGACGGAGGGAGTTCCAGGACACTGAGGGAGATGACACCAGACAGTTACAGGAAAACCAGGGCAAGCTGGTGCCCCCGCCTAGCGGTGCCTCTGGCAAAGTGACCCCTCCCAGGGCAATTTTCTCTGGTCGGCTACGTGGAAGTCCCTTGAACAGCTGCCCCACAAAAATCTGCCTTTTCAGTGAGGGGTCGGGTGGCAGCAAAGCCCAGTCTGCAGTCCCCTGCCCAACTAGGTCTTCTCCCTGGGCCGGCCAACGTAGAAGCCAGCCCAGCCACAGACTCGTGGACTAGACTGCTTTTCACTGATGCTCCCGCCAGAGCTGGCGGCTCGCTTCTGAAAGGATGCCTCACCGTCTCTGGGCCCTCGATCTCAAGGGGTACTCCCACCCTTCCTGCTAATGCACGCAGGCCAAAAGCCCCAGAAGCACCAGCCACACCCCAGAAAGCCTTTCCAGGCCCACGGCGGGGAAGGGCTTGGTGGGCTCACATGGCCAGTCCCCGGGACCAGGCACTCCCCACCCACAAAGGCGAGCGGCTGCCCAGCAGCCTGGATTGTGAGAGCAGATCCAGAAAGCAAAGATCGTCAGCACACAGCCCTGCACATAGATACACATCTCTTACCACGATATGGGAAGGGGACAGCGGCGTTATCCCTGTGTCCCCCAGACTCCGGGCTGGAGATGAATATGCAGACGTGGGGGCTGTTTCTGAAAGGAAAGACAAAGGCCTCCTTAGAAGTGGTGTGGCCTGAGCCTCGGGAAGCCAAACCCCAGCACAAGCTTGGTCTGTCTGTTCGGGTACTCCCTTGTGTTCAGTATTTAGAACCAGATGAAACGTTCTTCCTCTCCCCGTGACCACCAGGCCTCTCACCAAGTCCCCCCCAGTGCCTGCTTGGCGGAGACTCTGCCCAACCCCCACATGGCCTTATTCCAGGCTTGCGCTCTCTCAAGAGCCAGAACCTCACCTGTGCCCCACCATGGACCAGATAAACCTGAGTAAATGTTTGGATGCCTTTTTTGGGATGAGGTTCCAGGTTCCTTGCCTTACCCCAGAGATCAAGAAGCCCCATTACAGGAATATAGGACAGGCGTGCAGCGTCCAGAAAGAACTTCCTTGCTTAGTGGACACATCCGCTCCTCCCCTCCTCTAGCAGGAGGCCGCATCACAACGTGGGGACTCATCCCTCTTCAGTGATCCTGCCGGCTCTGGCATCCGGTTAAGAGAAACCACGGCAGAAAGTCAGGCAGGCTAGTGTCCCCGGACCCTGCGCCCGGGGCCCCACAACACACATGAGGTCAAACCAGAGAAGAGGCAACAGCCAAGCCGCCCAGACATCATTATGATGATGGCCCTGCTGCTGGCCTCGCCATTATGCAGGCACTGACATTTGTCCTGACACCTTGCCAGGGCCCAGTGGCCTTCCTCCGGGAATGAGCACCCAAGGAGAAGTCATACTGTCCCTGCTGGAAGCTCCACGCTGGTCTCCTCGCCCACCACCCAGGACTGGCAGGGCGGCAGAGCATGGACTGTGAGTGACCCTGGGCACCCACAGATTGCCAGGGCCCACTGGGGTGCTCTGCAAACATTGCCCAGCTAGTACACAGCCTACTCCTGTGTGGGAAGAACTGGGGAATTTGCTCAGACATACTGATGGTCAAGGAAACCCAGAGGGTGTGAGGTGTCTGAGAAAGGCCTGCTTCTAGGGGAGCACAGCAGTGGTTCCATCAGCCTTTGCTCTCAGATCACTCTGGTTAATCCCACACACTTACTGGTTTTTGTTTTTTCCTGCTCCGTGAGAACTCAAAGAGCATCATTACCGTAGGTGCCAAATGGACTGAGGAAATGAAATGAATCATGAAAGGGTGAATGTGAGCCTTCAAATCTGCACAGCCACCTCCACTCCCTGCAGGCATCTGGTCTCCCTCCTCCTGGGAAGGATCCAGTTCCAAATCCTGGGAGAAACTCGCAGAAGCGAGTTGGTACAGAGGCCCGAAACCAACTTGCACGGCAAGGGACTTCACCAGTCGTTTCTCCAAAGAAGACACACAAATGGCCAATAAGCACGTGGAAAGATGTTTAACGTCATTAGTTACCAGAGAAACGCAAATCAAAACCACAATGAGATAAGGCTTCACACCCACTAAGATGGCAGCTATAAAAAGGAAAGAAAGAAGTAACAAATGTTGGCAAGAATATGGAGAAACTGGAACCCTTGTAGATATCTGGTGGGAGTGCAAAATGGTACAGCTGCTATGGAAAAATGGTTTAGTGCTTCCTCAAAAAGTCAAATGTAGAATTACCATATGACCCAGGAATTCCACGCATAGGTATCTACCCAAAAGAACAGAAAACAGGGATTCAAACAGACACTTAAAAGTGCACATTCACTGTGATATTATTCATAATATCCAAAAGGTAGACACAAGCCAAGTCTCCATCGACAGATGAGTAAACAAAATGTGTGTGTCCATACAATGGAATATTACTCAGTTGAAAAAAGGAAAGAAGTTCTTGGGCACACTATCACACGGAGGAACCTAGAAAACATTACGCCAAGTAAAATAAGCTGGACACAACAGGACAAGTTTTGTATAATTCCATGTACATGAAATATCTAGAACAGGCAAGGTCAGAGAGACAGAAAGCAGATCAGACATTACCAGGGGCTGGGAGGGAGGAGGAAGGAATGGGGAGTGCTGAGTTTTTATTCTGAGTGAGGACAGTTGCTGGAAATAGGGAGGATGATGGTTTATAACACTGTGAACGCAATTAACGCCCCTGATTTGTACACTTAAAAATGGTTAAAAGTGCAGATTTTGTGCCATATATACTTTTTCACAATAAAAAATCTGCATTTAAAAAACTCAACTTGCTCATCTTAGAGGGAGAGCAATTTCTGATTCCTAGGGGCACCCATGGCTTGGTGCTCTTGAAAAGAGAACAGAGACGTAAGCCCAGCCCCTGGCCCAGCCTGCTGAAGTCCACCCTCTTCGCTAATCTCCCAGCCAAGGGCACTCCCCTTCCATAAAGCAGGGGGACTCCAGCCTCTCTGCTAGGGAGCACTGCCAGATGGTCCTTCCCACCTGTCGGCGAGAAGTCTGCCCTGCCCACGGCCCCTTGGGCAGGCTGCAGAGAGATGCCATCCAGCAGTGGGAGCCACCTTCCTTCCACCTGCTACCTGTGAGGCCTGCGGCCATGTGTCCACATTTGCACAGAAGGTCTTGGAAGACACCAAATGTCTAATTGCCCAGTAAATCTGGTGTTGGCAATTAGCAAACAAGCTATTATCTGCAGACAAACCATCCACCCCGCTGTCTGCTTGGTCCTAATTATCCCATCATTCGGCTCTTCTTAGAGCACGTCCCACTGATTGCAGAAGAGCATGTGTTGGGCCACACGTTGAACACATGCCTTGGGCCCCCCGAGGACTCCAGGACATGTGAGGACAAGAACCAAGGCTTTTCTCGGTTCTCCCTGCCCCTCCCCAACCCAATTACTTGCTGATCACTGAGCCAGGCCTAGAGGTGATTGACCCTCATGTACTTCCTCCATCAGAAGTGAAAATGCAGCTGTACCACGTGATGACTTAAAACTGATTTGCATAGAGGAGTAACATTTTTATAGATGCATAGAAATCCAACAACATATCATGCATGCCCCCATTTAGAGCTCTGCATATCCCAAATCAAAGACAACTTGCCAGTTAAGGTGTACCAACCCCCACAGGAATACGCAGAGCCAGGACTGACAACTGTGTTCTTTTAGCTAACCATTTAGGATATCCAAGTGGTGCTCAAAAATTTGTGTGGAAAAGAATATGGAAAAGGCTATTTCAGGCCCAGAAGGGTATGGGTAGTTTCTAGTGTCCTAATCTCCACCAATCCGGAGAGCTCTCATTCAACAGTAAGTCATCAGGAATAAACACAACGGGGTCAACAGAATATTATCTATTGATCTATGGCTATTTGACAGATCTGAGATAACAGACAAGGGAGAAAAGTTGATATATGGAATGTCTATAGGCTCAAGGGACCTACTGTGTGTCCAGGCTACCAACCACTTCCACACTGGCCATTACACTACTGTTACTTACAGGTACTTTTGTGTAAATGTTCCTTACACGTACTGTTAATTACAGTAGTGTAATGTTAATGTAATGTTACATTCCACAGTAAGAAATACCAGCTGTCACTGGCCGTGATCAAAGCCAATACAATAACACCTGCCCCGTGAAAACGCCCGCCTACATGATATTTCAGTTCAAGGACACACTGAGGGCCTGAGCACGTGGGGGACGGACAAACAAGGCAACAAGGATAGAGATTTTTAGAGTGCAGGCTTGGGGGCCAGAAAGGAAGCTGATGGAAAGAGAATTGAGACCCGTCTGTGGAGGTAGGGAGAGAAGAATAGCAAAACAGAGATGAAAGAAACATACTCCGCTAGTAAGTATGGTCAAGGGCAGAGCTGAGGGATCTGGGAGTTCTAAGAAACACCTACTGCACCGTTCCAGCCACGTTACATAGACGTTACACAGACACTCACAGCGTCTTCTACGTCCAGCCCTATGTCCCCCCGAAATGCGGTAACACAGAGGGAGCTGATGAATTCACGTCACAGAATCAGAAAAACACCGATCATTTCAAGAATGCAAACCATCTGCCACAGAATGATGGTCAAGCTGAAGAGAAAGACACCTGAATCTTTCTAGTAAACCCACAGAAAGCAATTGTCAGTTCTCCTTTGTTATTCGTTTCAAATAATTTAACGTCACTTCTGTCTTGTGTATTTACTATACAATTTTTTGTTGTTGTTGTTAGTTTGTGGGAATACAAAAATAATTTGATGGGGATGTTTCTAGGTTCACTCAATCCGGGACCCATGTCAACACATTCTTCAACCAAGTCACTTTTAAAATAATTTTTGCAGCAAAGAGGGGTATGAAAATATCTTTGCAGCAAAGTAGAGGATATAAATAAGAGTCTGACTCAACCAACGAGTCTCCTGCCACAGGATTTTTTTTTTAGAACCCCAAACCAGATAATGGAGAAGAAACTAGTCGAACTATACTAGGTTAATACTCATCACTTGCCTTAGGGGTGTGAGAATTAAGACACAGATTTCATCACGGTTCCTGTTATAAAATGCCAGACATGTGAAAATCAGACACATTTTTATTTGCTCCTGGCTCTAATGCCTTTAATCAAAGCAGATGTTCTTAAAATAAAAAACAGCCTTGATAAGAAACGTCAAAGCTAGCCATAATTCTTGAACCTGCTTGTCGTCCTTCTCTGCTGGAGACATTAGTCAGCAAATGGCGGTGAGCAAAATTGTAGACTTTCAGATATATATAAAATTGATCTTGCTCCATAAATAAAACATTTTTTAAAAATGAAGAGAGAACCCTTGGGCTGACTCTCTTCCCCAAGGCTCTAGGCTCATGTGACATGACAGGTGGTCTCAACAATGGTGACTCCCCAGCTTTTCCGAACAGGCCTTCTTTCCAGCTGCCAGATTTATGTATCTATCAAACAAATGCTCGATTTCAAAAAGGATTTTTAAGGCCCGGTCCTTACGATTTAAGAAATGCAATATATATTTTCATTTCTTTCCCCTCCTAGCTGTGAGATAACGGGTATTTGCTGACAATTGCCTAAAATCAGGCTATTTAGAAAAGCTCTTCCTTCCTTTCTCACTCTCCTTATATGCG